CATTGCAGGTGCATACAGAGTGAATGCTGTTTATTTCTTCAGGAACGTCGACTTTCAAGACACGATCACACTGAACCCAGTTGACATTGTGTGTGCTCTTCGACCTCCACTTCGAAGAATTTCAGTTTTGCATCTGATCCTTCAAAATGGCCGACAATTGCCACGACCTCTACTCCAGAAGCTGTATGATGCAATCAATGACTACAACCACATCAAGCAACGGGATGATCAACGACCAAGATGGGGCATCCACATGTCAGAAGCTCACATACTTGCGATTGCTGATACCCCGATTCCTGCCGATCGTGAACGCGCTAACCCGGCCGCTGGCAAATCGAAAGCAGCCCCGAAGGCAGCACCAGCACTGGGCAGAGTGTCAAAAGCGAAAGCATCATCATCAGCAACATGGAGAACCGTCGAAGCCGCTCCTCCGCCAAAACAAGCTCCAGTAACCCCGCCACAGAAAGGTGGAAAAGACCAAGGGAAAGGTGGAAGATCTTATTCACACCGTGGTGGCGACTGGAACCAACATGGATACTATGGATGGGGATATAGATGATAAATCGATATGACCTCTGCATAGGTCCTGATTGAACCTGGCGAAGCGAGGCAGCGATCATTGCTCGAGATTTACCTCTACTTCATTTCGAATGATTTCTGAGAGGACTCTGAGCCGGCTAATTTAGAACCACATTTTTTTGAACATCATTGCACGAGACGCTGAGTTTCTACAGCGGTCTACATCTCAACCGACGAAGGAACGGGAAGGTAAACTTCTAGTTCCATAGTCATCTTTGTGTTTCGATTTTTAATTCGCATGCTTGAGTGGGATTCCATGCTGGCTACGCCACATCGGATGAACCTCAATGCTGTACACCGACTACGTCGTGTCAGCATGCACGTGAACAGAACCTTTTTTTTGGTAGAGATCGTAGCAAGCCGCCATGTAGATTTGAAGTTCTGAACGGACTTTAGCTCTCCATAATTCAATAAATGAACAGCTGCAGATATACTGGAACGATTTAAGGGACACTCCTTTGCGCGTGGCCGACAAAGTTGGCCATGCGTGGGGGGTGCGAATGGGATGTAGGCTACGGAATCAAACACACTCCCATGTAAGATAGCCCTTAATCATCCACGGCCAGGGGATGCATATATGTGCTCCTTTGGCTCAAGACGCTGCTAGTTCCGCAGAAAAGGAAGCAATGCCGAAACCGTTGTTCGTTCGTCATCACTGGTGAGGGAAATCAACAACCTTCTATAACAGCCAAGAACATATAATCGGGGAGATAACCTCCGATTCACAATATATTTAATATATATAATATATAATATATATATAATATATATATATAATATATATAATATATAATATATATAATATATAATATATATAATATATTATATATATAATATATATAATATATATAATATATATAATATATATAATATATATAATATATATAATATATATAATATATAATATATATATATAATATATATAATATATATAATATATATAATATATATAATATATATAATATATATAATATGTATATAATATATATATATATATATAATATAATATAATATATATAATATAATATATATATATATATATTGTCATGATCCTGCCTATGCTTGCCATGGGTGGCCCTCAGGTCGTGGTGCTGCTGATCACGCCTTTGCTTTTCGTCCTCATCGCATTGGCCTTCTCCTGAGCGGTATCAAGCAATGAATTTTGGGCTGCCCAGTCCAGACCCGGTGTGGGATTGGACCATATTGGGCCTATGTATCCGTGAAACTTGGATGGTTTAGGACCCATTTTCTGGGCCCATAGGCATTTGCAATGAAGCCAGGTTCAGAGGTGCGCAGGATCTCATGTTTTCTAGCTGGTTTGGTTTAAAACCTTTTGAAATCTTGCAATTCAATCTGATACTATCATGATTTAAAATCTCAAGGAGGGACCTGAAGCTAAGTGATCAATCAAAAGCTGAGGCGCGGATTCTGCTTTTCCGCCACTTCATGGAACCTTTCTGGATCAGGCTCCAGGGCCTTTGTCAGAGCAGTTCTCGGAATTAGTGCCCTGCTGAATAGACTTGTTGCCCGAGAGCAACAAGAATCAGAAAGGGTAGCCCATGTGACCCAAGTGCAACATGTTCCGTCCAAAGATCCATGCTATGCTGCTATGCTGCTATGCCACAAGGACAGGATTTTCAAGTGGGTATGTGTTATGGGTCAGTTCACCCCAATAACATACTATAAATTTAGTTACTATAGCTGGATCCCACCTAGATATGGTATAAGCTGGTATAATTAACTATATTATATGGTGTATCCTTATGTATAACTTATATTAAAACATAGGTTTTGATCCATCCCCAAGTCAATCGTTACATGCAGCCCCTGAGGCGTCTTTGGCTCTGCGAAGAGATCTTGAAGCCCTGGGCCAGTCGCCAAGCTTGCGAAAGTCATGAAGCACAAGTCCAAGATCTCAAGTACCAGTACCATCAAGTACCAGTAGATACCAGTAGTGTTTGACGTGTCAAGATTTCTCCGTGTGAGATCTTGTAACCAATCTTTGCCTTCCCTCGCTTTCCTCAAGAAGTGCAGCACATTGTTGGCCTTGCGAAACAGGTCATGGGTGACGTGGCAGCAGTCTCTATCACTTCACTCTTCTTGTCCATTCAGGACGTTTGGAAGTGAGGAAGAGTGAGCTGTTTGCAATCACAGCCTCCATGGATTGTGCTTGATTCATGTCTTGAAGTTGCAACATCACAGAGTAAATATGCAGTGCCGGAAGGAACCCTCTACAGACTTTGTGTTCCTATGCGTTCGCCTTGCCATGCCGCTATAAACTCAGTTGGGAATCATTCTTTGGTGCGGATTCTCTGTTAGGTGGGTTCCTTTTGTTTGCCAATGCTTGCGTCATACAGAGGCCACTTTGCTTGGCTCTGTAAGGGGTAGCCAGAGGATCAGCCCAAAAAAAGTGTTTTTTTCGTCATTGATTTGACATCACCGACATTTCCACAGCACCGGAGGAAACAGCGTTTCTGAGGCCCTTTGGTTTCTTGGCCTGCCTTGGGCAGGGAGTGGCAGCTGCTCGGTGCAGTTAAGATCAGTTCAGATGTTACTGATTTTCCTCTCGCCTGCGTCTATCTTGGTGGAAAAAATCAGGCCCAGGAATCCAGGAACCCATGGAACTTGGTCGTGTTTAACATGTTTAACTGTTTAACCACCCAATCCTTAGGGGTACCCAAGTTTGACCCATCCGCATCCAACTCCAAGCATCCACTGTCAGTGCTGGGGCTTGAGATGGTGCACTCCAGCACTACGGCCTCAAAGCGTAGGGACCCCAGGAGCCCGGGCATATCCGGGCATCCCAACTGGAGTTCGCGAAAATTCAGGGTTACAGACTCAGACAAAATGCATTGATTTGTTTCAAAAAAAGATAGTAATTAGATGATATTAGATGTAATTAGCACAAATCCTCTTAAAGTGTGAGGCTTCACAAGACATTGTTCCTGCCTCCATTTACGTTTTCCAAACAAATTCAAGACATGCGAACATGTTTTCCAATGATTTCCTCTTTCCTCAAAGCTATTAGCAACGGTCTGTCTCAACACCGCGACTCCACCGATGAGCGTCAGCCAAGGCAGGAACCAACAAGAGCCGAGAAGCAGAGAATGCTGAACGTTTGGCAGCTAAGAAATGACGGCCGTATTGTTTGAGAAGATTGTTTTTTGTATGGTTTGATGGGTGGCATTCATGGCACTTTGTCACAGGTTTTGATTGTCTCCACCGTCTTCAAAAGGGGGCTTACAGTAAGTAACACTGGTCGTTGTTTACCATTGCATACCATTGCAACATATAACGTGTCGTTGTTGAAACATCTCAGATTACCAACGGCTTCCAATGTACTGGGCTGTTGCTTTAGTTTGCTTCCATAGAATTATCTTTGCGTTGCCTGCGTCAGTTTTCTTGACTTTGAATCAGCCTTGCCTGGAATAAACATATCCATGCACCTCACCCATGTAAACTCTGGTTGGTGGTTTCAATCATTTTTTATTTTCCATAATGTATGGGATAATCCTTCCCATTGACTAATAAATATTTTTCAGAGGGGTTGAAACCACCAACCAGAACTACATGCACCATCATGCACCCACAGAAAGTGTGACATGTTTTTTTACCCAAGATGTTTGCATGTTTGAGATTGTTTGAGCACATCACCATTTTTGCTATTTCTATGGGTACATTGAGCCATCAGCCAAGGCCTAGCCTCTGAGACAGGCTCAGCGACACCATTGCTGACTGCTTGGGCGGCCCAGGGACCGCAAGTTAAACTGTTGATTGTCAAGTTGATTGTGTTTCTTGTTGTATGACTAAGGCAATCTTGGGAGTAGTATGTTTGTGGTCACTCGTCAATTTGCATGCTTTGAATGGCAAGAATGTGTTCCCTCTCTTTCCGTCACAGTTTTGGTCTCCACATGGTGCGTTCGACCTTCCACTTCTGCAAATACTGAATACTGATACTCGATTGAAATGATCATACTCATAATTCATCGTGACATAATCATGAACAAGAGAAAAAAATCCGAACAAATTTTGTTTCAGTGCAGCTTTGGCAGAGGTCAAACTTGCACAATTTGTACTTGGATGTCATACTAGTCTGTGTCCCAAACAGTAATAGCTCCCTATGCATCGGACGTCGAACCCCTTTCACTTGAGGCCTTCAAAGCTGCTTGGAAGTCACTTCGATGGGAGCAAGGTCCCTCTTTGGGCTGTAGATGGCTGTAGGCGTTGGATGTTCAAAAAGTTGCGCAGACCAGCAGGGGCAACTATGGTATGGATGCAACACGTTTGACGGAAAACATCCTGCACTCTTCAGTGTCGATGATTCCTGTTTCTTTCAATTCGGGATGTCCAAGAAAAACCATCAGAACGTCTCCAACCTCCCTTTTCACTGGTTAAATCATGTTAAATCTCCAATTTCCACAATGCCCCCTTTCTGCACTTGTTTGCCTACCAAGAGATCCCAACTCTTCCAGAGGCTCTCCTGCTCGCTGGAGTGGAACATGGCTGTGGACTTTGGCCACAATCTCAGTCGTGTCGATTTTCTGGGGCTGCAGATGTAAGGAGATCATTGCAAAGTTTAGTGAAAAATGTTTTATGTGTTGCAAGGCTCCCATGGTTCCAATTGTTTCCATCTTCAGCGTTTTGGGATGTTTTGGGTGCAAGAACCAGCATCCTTCAGCGCCAGGTTTGGCGTGAGCTTTGCGTCTGGCTCTTCTGGTTCACCATCTTTTGGCAGACGCAAACTCAGCAAGACACTGGACGGTTCATTCAAAACGGCACCGGGGTGAACTAAAAAATGGGTTAATTCCATGTAGTTACATATAACTGTCCCAAAACCACAGGCTGCATTTTCATTTTTCGGATATCATTATATTATGTATCATATATCATCATGTTCACCATGAAAATAGCCTCAAATTGGGATGTATGATGATCTATGCCTCATTTTGAAACAAACCCGTAACTGGACCCGCTTGGCGCAGCGCACCATATTTTGGTGCCTTCAGGCTGGGGCCCCACGAGCCACCATCTGTTCATAGCTTGGCGGACTTGAACACCGTGCTGCATCAAGAGGTGACTACAGCACATTGCTGTTGCTCCAGATCATCCAGATCCACGAAAACCTTTCAATATGTTAACATGATGTTGTGGGGTGTTCTTCTCAGATGTAAATGTTGTTTTCCGTGGTTTTCCATCATGTAGTGGTTGGGGCGTGATGTGTGCAGCGGATGTTGTAGTGGTTTTCCATTACATGATTTCGTTTGAGTCAGAAGTTATCCACGGTGCGACGCATAGTTTCTGAAGCCCTAGCACAAAACAAACCTCTTGATACAATGCAAAAGGCCCTGAGAAGAAACTGAACAAGGCCCAACATAGTACATTACAGATGTTGGCCTGCCAACTAGAATGGATAGCTTAGATAGCAATAGATCGTTCAAACATGCTCGGACAGAAACATGCATCATCAACGTAAAAAGGCTCATAAGTGGTATTTATCAGCGGATTTAATCATGGCGATCTTCCCAAAAACTCATTGGATGCGAGGTGCCTAGAATCAACAAGTTGCTGATGGAGAATGTGCCTCGTGCCATTGGTCACTTGGAGGATACATTGAATTTCATCCAAAGTGTTCTTTCCCCAAGGTACAAAAGGGTACCAAAGATCATTGAGATAGGTTTGTGTGAAAATGAGAATATCCCCACTTCCGATGGATTATCATCATGCTCCCCATTCAGTGGCCATTTGTGAAATAAAGGGCCCCAAGTTCAGGGGCACCGGCTTGGTACACCAAGGTGACTGCGATGCATTACTGGCGCAACGCCCCAGCGTCAAGGACCGATTTCCGAAGGTTGCATTGGAATGCATGCACGAATCGTTTGAAATCGTGTGAAATGATTTGCATTTGAAATCGTTTGAAATCACTTGTCATTTGAGATCATTTAAGTCTTTGAGATCCAAGCCTGATACAAGCAGAAAGCAGAGTCTTTGCCAGTGCTGAATGAGCCTCTGGTGGGAGTTTTGTCGAAGAAAGCGTGCACTTCCCACTCACCATTCGCAGCACATCTAGACTCTAGACAAACCATGCAAACCCAAGTTTTTTTTTGCACAATGAACATAATGAACAGGGGTGGGTCCAGTGCTTTAGAATGTTTTAGAAGTTTCATGCGCTTCAGCGTGCCAACCCTGCCAACAGGATCACTGCAATGAAGTTCCGATGGCACCCTTGGATGCCCTTCGTCTCATGAATGACCAACAAAGACGTGCATTTGTCCGTTGAACAATCAGTATACGTAGAGGGTCATGTGCATACATCAATGAAAAACGAATAAAAACGATATACCAAACCAACCCCATTTTCAGAATCATATGATCAAACAATTGATAACTGTCCATGATTTCTTATGTTGTTTTAAGAATTGAAGTATCATAATATATCATAATATATCATAATATATCATAATATAATTATATCATAATTATCCCATGATATGATTTATATCATATTTATATCAATTATATCCCATTGTAATCACCAAGCAATATTTATATCAATTATATCCCCTTCGATTTTTTTGGGTGCACGATCCCATGGAATATAGAAAGGTGAACCCATTGGACCATTGCAGTGTTCGCCATGTTCAAAGGCCAATAAATTGATGTTCACTTTTTAGCTTTGTTTTATTTATTGAAATTTCATAGCCAATAAACAATCATAGTGATGTGTATTTCAATTGTTTTTTTTTTTTTTACATATATGTTCACTATGATTGAAATTTATGTTGAAGAGTTTGAAGTGAAAATCCATTGGAATACATTAATCATCATTAATCATCATTAGTCATCATTAATCATCATTAATCATCATTAATCATCATTAATCATCGTTAATCATCATTAATCATCATTAATCATCATTAATCATCATTAATCATCATTAATCATCATTAATCATCATTAATCATCATTAACCATCATTAATCATCATTAACCAACCCAACTGGATGTTTTCATCACTTGACCCCTCCAGTTTCTGGCCATAAAAAACCGGCTGAGTGAGGTGTCGCCGGTGGGGCTCTCGGCGCGTGTGGTCTTCATCGATGGCCTCTCTACGCTTCGCATCAAGAAGCTTCGGGTGCGGCATGGTGCGGCGGTGCGGTTTTTTCCGAATTGAAGAAATTGTTGTTAAATCATAGTTGGTACACTAGGGTCTTATATAGATTTTATATATAAGAAATTATAAGATCCCAGGGTTTAAGGCTGGTTACATTGATGTTTTGGAAATCAATGCCTTGAAAACTACCATTTTGGCGGTTTCAATCCTGAGAAAGAATGAATTGAATGAGAAAGGCATGCAAGTCGTTTCTAGGTTCCTGCTTGTTTTGTTGCAGCAATTGGGGACTCTAAGTTGCAAGGAAAGTTGGTTTCCATTCGTTCTCAATCAGGTCATGCCGGAGAAGAATCACAACAGCGACGATGAGCGCTCTGCGCAACGTGTGGAATCCTAGGATTGGAGGGTAAATTGGGGGTGATATGGGTATGGGTCAATACCTATAGATACAATTTTTAGTGGGATGAACATCCATTTACCAGCTATTTTGGGGTTCACTAGGTACCAGGGTTTTGACCCATCCCCATATGATGAATTATGATGAGCAGGAGTCATTTGATGCAAGATGCAGGACGAGATTGCCCCTGCTTTGGAAAGAGCAGGGTCACTCTCCTGTGTGTTCATCGTGAAAATGCAGGGTCACAAAGACTGAGACAGGATAATGAACCGGCCTTGTTTTACATTGTTTGACAAATTCCCAAGTCTCAGGCTTGTTGTTCTTGGGAACCTCTTATTTTTTCCGGAGAAAAATATTGTGGGTGAAGTCTGCAATTTTGAGGACTTTTTCGGAATTTCAAAGGATGACTTTTTCAGCATCGGTTGCTGAGGCTGGGCCATTGACATTCAAGGTCAATTCTCGGATCTCAACGTTTTTGCCAGAGCCAGCCAGGCTGGGAGTATCAGTTGAGGCCCCCCAAGGGGCCTGGTTGGATTTTTCGTATCAGCTGGGATGACTGGCTCAGGGCATGGACCAGCTCTTGAACGCTTACATTTGCTGTTGGCACCTCAGGTTGTGGACAGGATCAGAGATGGCAAGGGGAAAGATGTGCAACCGCCTTCCATGTGCAGTTGAATTCTTCCGCAGGGAATTCATGCGTATTTTTCCAGCGGAGTTGGAACTGGCAATGGCTGCATGTGTATTCTTCCATCACCACGTGACGTTTGAGATCAGATAATGTCGTTGGTCTTCAGCCTTTTGCTTCGCCAGTCAAGCAGCAGCAAAGAAACAACTCAGCCCGGCTTGAATTGCAATGTCTCATGTCCTGGTCATGTGTTGCTTTGCATCAGCATGCATCAGCTTTGCTGGCATGCTGCCAAGATTCAAGTTATCTTATTTGAAGCGTCGACCAAAATTTCAAATATCCCTAGGAACAAAATTGGAATCTGACAAGTCCTTTCTCGAGCTGTCAGAACTGTGACATTTAGACAGTTCATTTCAACAATTCGATATAGTGATCCGAAGCCATCCGAAGCCACAAGGCCACAATCCCTACCACGTGGGTTTGCAGCTCTCAGTGCTTTGTTTCGACCTCAGCCCTTGGTCCATTTGAATGGGTCGATTTGCGAGCTGCACCATTGGAGGTTACGGCATGTTGTGGGTTCATGTCTGAAGTGCTGGACAACCTGAAATCAAACAAGTCACGAAAAGATACATAAAGATACCCTCCTGTAAACTAACATAGATGTGGAAAATCACCATGTTTTATAGGTAAATCATCGCTAGCTACTTTCCACATCTATGTTAGTTTAACAGTTTACCCAAGGGTATGTGCCAGTTATGGTGACACGTGGTGGTCAGAAGCTACTGCTTTCCAAGGCTCTGACCCCGAGGGTTTCTCGGGCAATGTTACTGTGACAAGCTTAGACATGGCTGTGGCCCAGGACGCCCAGGGCACCGAACAGATTTTGCTCAGGTCATGTTTTTAACCAACCAATTTCAGATATTCATGGGATTTCATGGGTACCGTACCTCACTTTGACCCATGTTTTTTGAAGCGTTTTGTACCAAGATGTGAGAACATGAAAGATATGAATCCTTTGGATTTTTTTCGCGAGGAAGCGCACGAGTTTCGAGCTGTGAAGTTCCCACCAATGTCAACAACAATTCCTCGATTGATGGCAGTTTGTGCGGGCTTATTTTGGATGTGTTTGGTCACATGCAGAAACACAAAAGCATGGTGACAAAGGTAGATGACTTCCACATCGACCAAGTGAGCCTGAACACCAGATGGCAACTTGAAATGTCCGGAGACAAAGACAGGGATGTTGGCCGATTTCACTGCTGATGCCTATTTACAGTATCAGCGGATGTTCATTTTCAAAATATGGGTAAATGATAAATGTGGCGGTCTTGTCAAGTAAGCTAAGCAGGGTCTTGCAAACTCAGACCTAGACATTTCATGACATGTCGGATCTATTCAAATCTGTGGAACTTGCAAAGCCTGCATGTGTCATTGAATGTGTTTTGTAAATTGTGCTTGTTGACCCATTTTTCTGCTGCACCTGACTTGGGGATGCGTCAAAACTTACTATTCCCAAATTTGGGGGAATAAACATCCATTGACCAGCTATTTTGGGGTACCTAGGGTGCCACGGTTTTGACTCATAGCCACTTGGCACTACCACAGCTTGAAAGATGCAGCACTGTCATTTTCAGGTCGGGCGCTGCTGAACAAAGCATGTCCCAGGCTGAGATTCTGCAGAGATTGTGACCATGCCCAGCTGTAGCAAAACCTGAAACTTAGCTGTTCCATCCTGCACTTCACGATGGATTCCATGTTCTTGTAGATTTAGCTCTGAAAAGGGGGATGGATCAAAATCAAAAGCTATCACAAGATATTCGCTGCCAACGAACATCCATTTTGCCACATAAAAAAGTACCAGGGTTTTGACAATTTGACCCCTAGCCATACAAATGTACATCATAGAAATGTAACTGAAATGTACCAGGGATAGGTTTGGCATGGCCTCAGCTGAGGCTCGAAATTGACATGGGTGGTGACATTGATGGTCCCGAAGATTTGGTTCATCGGGTGGCTGGGCCGAAAATTGGTGAACCGTTGGTTTTTTCGAGAACCGTTGGCAAATAAAAATGGCGGTTTTATAACGATGAAAAAACGATGAAATAGTTGCTCATAGGTTATGGCCGGCTAACATAGCTGCTCATAGCTATTGAACATGGCCCATAGAAATAGTTGATAAAAACCGAACTTAAAGATGGTGATTTGTCCATAGTTATGTTGGTTTACCAGAGGGTAACTATGAAATAACTTATCCTTACTTATCCTTTGCTGGTGCAACCTATGGCCAGATTTCCAAAGGGTTTTGAATCCTGAACACCATTCCCCGATTGGATTTCCTAACCGACTACATTTGAAAAGACACAGCACCCAGACCCAGTATTGTCCGTAGATTTAGTTCTCAGAAGCCAAGTCGCAGGGGATTTGATTTCAGAGAAACATATTTTTTGCAACATGTTGAAGATTACTACTGACAAGGTAAGATGACCTTTGTCAAAGGATCGAAACACGCTTACAACGCTTACCATGGAATCACTGCTACAGGTCAAACATAGTTGTTTCCATGACTGTCAGATGAATTCTCTTGGAATTCTTGAACAGTCCCAGCTTGGCAGTTGCCCGCAATCCCTTTGGTTGCCGCCTCTTTTCCTTACAGTAACTTGATCCATGCATGCTGCCTCAAAACTTGTGAGGAGATCAAAAAGCACTTGGAATCCATCATCATCGACAAGACTGGAGGTGCCGAATACCAAGTAGTTCAAGATCCTTGAGCTTGAGTGTTCTGAGTGGCACTGATGTAGCTGAATGGAACCAGCAGAACCTGCATGGCCTTCAAAAGGACTTCATACACAGTCCACGTCCAGCAGTTTGGCGATGACATGTTTGTTGCAGGTGCCAAGCCTGTGAAGGCGCGGAGCCCTACAGCTGTGTTCCTGCTGACAGCTGAAGAAAAACATGGCTTGGTGAGCTGACTAACTTGCTGCTGTAAGGGAACTGCTGTATGAAGAAGACTTGGTTTATCTTGGTTTCATGGTGGTTCTTTTGATTGTACCACTAGCAAGCCAGGCTGGTTTGCCTCCGCTCTCTCTGACAGCGATTCTCAACAAAGTGCTGGGGGCCCAGCATGGGGTTTTCTGAGCCTCGGTGACACCCAAGCTGTGCAGAGAACTGGTAGATGGTACTTCTGCTGAAAGAATTTGGCCTTATACTATCTTATACCTATGAATTGAATTTTGATCTCAATATTCTACACCATTGGACCCACAGGTTTGGATGAGAATTGTCATCCAATGTTCGGATGTTTTCAGGGGGATAATGATTGCTGATCCACCACTGCGGAAGACGCTTTGGTGCAACTGACCAGGCTCCGCTTCAACGGCGGCGAGGAACGATGTCCCAAGGCTAAGAGTTGATTTTTGAAGATCAGTTTGGCGAGATCCAAAGGGATCTCAGACGGAGATTTGCCATCCTTTCCCTGCGCAAACAATTGCACAAGGCAATGGTTGTGCAAGATTGGGAATCTGTGATGAGTCTTCATCTTATTTGCCACACTCATGCAGTGGGGCCTGATTCATATCTCAAGAACTAGTCGCACCTAACGAAGACAAGAAGATCCAAGAACTGAATCACCAACTTTGGTCGTTAAACCAGTATATTCCCATGATGTTCCCATCATATTCCCACTATATCCGGTTCTTTCATCATTATAGTCCCATGGATTTGATGGGACGTGTTGCAATTCTATGTACTGTGCAGATCTGTGCGGTTGGTGTGGGTTGTTGGCTTGAGCATCTCTGCGTTTGGCAGTAGCTTCTGGAGATATGTCATATATTTGCCGCCCTTGGCAGCGACGTTTGAACAGACGTCTGAGCAAGGGTAGATCTGAGAGTTTAGAATCTCAATCCAAACTTGGTTTCGATGCAACCCTGAAAGATCAGGACTACAATGAGACGAGCTGAAGAGATTGCAGGTACCTCTCAACATTAGATTGTATCAGCATCACTGTTTGTATGTCTTGGCAGACCCTTCATGACGCATCCTTCAGCGAGTGACCTTTCCATGGACATCAGTGCAAAGGCTTATTGTGGTTCGCCTCTGACGCCCAACTGAAATGAGTTTGATTGATTTTGAATATTTTAGATATACAAAATTAATCATATATGTTATACAAGTTTATGATATTATGTAATATTATGTATAATGTATAATATACTATATTTATTGTATATTAATATTGGCCACCAGTTTAAGGCAAGCTCGACTACTCTACCCTTCCTTTCTGTACAGGTGCCCTTAATTTTGGCGGCAGCCCTCGCAGTGGTGAATTTGTGGTTCTCTCCGGGGAATACCTGCAAGGCAAAGAAAAGGCCTTTTTGTTGTGCTTAGCTTGAAGTTGGCAACATTTCCCGGCCATCGGATGTTATGTTTATTCATTGGGATTCGCATTCGCCGCCATTCAGTGTTGCTGCCAAGCCCATTTCAGAAATGCAACATCCCCTACAGATTCTACAGTCTTGGATGCCAACGGTCAGAGGAAGAACAGATACTGAATCCTTTGCTGTCTTTCTGGCATTTTCACCCTGAGCTTTTTGCATTTCATGACAAGATGTTGGAGCCACGACCTGTGGCGATATGTACAGCATCAGTTGAATAGTCGAGGCACTTGAAGGCACTAGAACCATCTGAAATCCGCTCGCATGCTTCATGGGCCATGCTGACCTTTGACGACTTGGATCCGGAGCTTGAAGCCTTGGACCTGCAGAACCAGGAGCTGGGGAAGAAAGGAGCCCAGAGGCGATCCGGTCGGGGATGATCCCATCGGCAGTTGGAAATCCTTCATAAATCCCCCAGATGTTTGTTAGAAAATCCTTCATAAATGGGTGCTTCTTAAATGCCATGTGGCTGATGAATGCTGATTACCGGGGAGGTCATCTCCCTGAGTTCCCGGATTTGCACTTTGAAGAACCACTCGAGATGGGTGTGGAGATGACAGCAGTTGATTTGCGATTCGTTGTTTGGTTCAATGAAGTGGAAGTGGGCTGCTGAATTGCAAGTGGAGTACCCAAAGATTTTATGATTGATGCTTTTAGTCAAGCACGATGATTTCTAGTCTTGTCTTATGATATTGTTTGACGTTTTAACATGTTTTAACCAGATTAATCTATATCTCTCCTCTTTGCGTGAGGCTTGCTCGTGCTTTGCTGGATCATCAGTGTTTGCTAGAGCTGAATTTGGCAACTTGGCAGGTTAAGATTTACTGGTTTCACTACTGCAAAACCAGACCAAATTCTGACAATTTGGATCTGTTTGGCAGCGGTACAACTGACTGTGCTACTGAATGATTCATATCAAACACCGACACCAGTTGTGAAGCATCCAGCAAGTGCCAGTTCAATGGTTCAAGTATGTTTGCATGATGTTTGCCAAGGCTTGTGCGAACATCGGTGATGCCGGCTGTGCTTTTATAGCTGGTGCACTGCAGAGGCCGTTTGTTTGTCGATGTGGAGTCATTTGATGGCAAATCCACAAACTCGCCAGCAGCAATGTAGAATAGACTATAAATACTACTTTGGTTGTCTTCAACAAGTGTCCTCTCGCACTGCACTGCGGTGACTCGAGTTTGACTGGTAGGACTGATTAAAAAATTATTGTAACGGTGTTACTAGTTCTATTAGGTTTCCTCTATCTCTGCAAACGTACTTCTATCATTTTCACGTAGATATCAGGTACTGTATCCAGCGTTGCTCAGTGCACAGTGAACAATACTCAAACTTCGATGTGAACCCCGGCTAGTAAGTCGTTCATCACCACGGTCAAGTTGCAACCCAATTCAAATTAAGAGAAGGAGCAGATACACGATGTTTTCCAGTTGCCACCCATTGCCACCCTGCGGTGCGATCGCTGCGAAGGAACTCTTCTTTGCAGTCGGTGAACTTGCGAAACAATCATATTGGAGAGGAAGGGGTGGAGAGCATCACAGAAGGTCTGGCTCTGTCGTGGAAAGAGACCTTCGGCTGTTGCGAAAATCATACTGTTGCAGAGTAAAGGCTGCTTTTTGATGTTTTTTGTGGCTTCCCTTCGTGGTGGTTGAACAATTTGCCTAAGGGGAAATTTAGCATGGAACTGACTGCAAGGTGGCGTTGCCACAACTTTTTCTTGCATCAGCAAAAGCCGTTCAACTCTCTACATGGTTTAAGATGTGTTCAACAGTAGATGCATGGCAGGTTGGCGATTCCAATATTCCCAGGGATTTCATAAATCTTTAAATATGCGTCGGTTGCCAAAGAATTCATTTTAGCCACAGCCACCAAGGACAGGTGCAGGGATCCAGCTGAAAGAGTCGGACGCTGAAGCCTGGGATGATCCCAAGTCAGAGTTTTTCAATGGGTCGGGTAGACCGGATTCTCTGTCTTGAACTAACTTCTTCATATTTTATATATGTTTATAATGTTTATATATGTTTGTATATGTTTGTTGTATCTTCAGTTTTCATTACACTGACATTGTCAGAGGTGCATTGTTACCATTTCTTCACGGCCCCAAATGGGATGTTTGACAACTTAGAGCGCCCTCTTGCCATGGATATTATGGATATTCTGCTGTGTCTCACATAAAATTGTAATGGGAAAAACTATGGAAATACCATACCATACCATCCAATGGATCTCACGAAATTTTGCAATGGATCGATTTCATGGGAAACACATAGAAAAAAAAACATGGAAAAAACCCAATCGATGCCGAACAGGTTGAACTTGGGCCACAACCTCTTCGGGGACGCTGGGCTTCATGCCATTTCCAAGGTGAGCGGAGGAAGTTCAGACGCCCATGCTAAAGAAAGTTTTTTTTTCAGTTCTGCCAGGAGATTAGCATGAGAAAATTATGGTATCTTTGTGCTTTGTTGATGTGGTCAGGTTGTACCAGAATGTGTTTTTTCAACTTGAGTGATTCGCCAGCTGAATATACCAGTTCTGTGCAGACAGCAGTCTGTTGGGCGACAGCTGTGTTAGGTCGTGGCCTTGGGTTTCTTACAACTGTTGGACCTTTCAAATCTAAAGCGCCTTCACTGCAATCGTGCTGCACTTTATTTGGAGGTAGGAAGCGCTGATTTGCTCTCTTGATGACACAATGCTAGTCTTAGCCTTTCAACTTGCAACATTGGTGCTTAGAGATTGATCCGAGAAAAGAATGGCGCGAATGGGCTGGGTATTCACTGTTTTATGCTTAAGCAGAAGTTTGACAGTTACAGATTCCACTCACCATCCGACCATCCGCAGTGGAACATGTGGAATTGCAAAGCATCCAAGGATGGTCACTTCCGATGGATGGCAAACGTTTTGCTCCACCTTGGTGGGCTGCCGTGCCTCGCAAGTTGCCCTCATCCAGCATGCGGGTGCAGCATGTTGTTCCATCATCACTCATCGCCATCACCATGTTCATCACCTCATCCACATCAATGATCATCGTCATCCGCCATGTTCATCCAACCCACCAATGCGCCAATATGCGCCAATTGATGTCAATTGCCACCTACAGTGGATGGAAGAAATCCTGCACCAGTTGATAAGTTATTTAACCATGTTTAACCCATGATTTATAGGGTTTCAACATGTTTCAACCATCCAAGGTGGTGCAGGATTTCTGCCATCCACTGTAGCTGGCAATCCCTGGAACCCCAGGTCTGACCACTTTGAATTTACGGCAGAACGACCAGCTGCCCGAAGCTGCTGCTCTTGCACTGGCACTGGCGCTCAAGACGGACGTAGGCTGGCCATTCTTCGGGAGCTGGTGGGCAGCTGTGTCAGGTTGTAAAGCGTTTAGCATGTTTTTGCAGGGTTCAAAACACACACACTTGAAATGCCCGTCATTGCATCATTACTTTATTCGTTCCAAAACCGTTTCTTGAGTGCGGCAACCATGCATGTCCCAGAGTCCCAGTTGTGTGGGAACAAGTGCCAAACGACATTTCATGTCGGGTTGCAGTTTGATGCATACATTATTGCAAAGGGTTTGCATATTCAGTGGATCTCACTAGTCTGTACTACATAGCCTGTATCAATCAACAGTTGGCCGTGAATTCACATTGACCTCGAGGTGCTTTGCAAGAGTTGGATTTGTCGTTGTGCTCAGTGAGCGCCAAAGCTGCGCCACAGTTATTGCAGCTGCCGCTGCGCCAGCTACAGTTGCTGGGCAGCGAGCAAATGGACGTGCAGGAGAGACATCGTGATTTACCTACTTGATTTACCTATAATTAATCAACAAAGGCGGTTTTCCATAGCAAACTGTTAGTTTACCAGAGGTCTACATTTTCTATGTTGTTGAACCTGTGGAGAAAGACCCTATAATACCCTATATGACCCTGCAAGCATCGTTAAGCATCATGTTTGAAACAAATTGAAAATATGTTGCCGTTGTTGATTCTGTTGGAATTATATTTCATGCGACTAAGCCAGCTGATCAGTTGAATGTCGAGTCCAGTTCTTCACATTTTTCAATATTTTCCCGCACCATCAAACAGGTTTAAGCAGAATCATGTTAATTGAGGTAATATAATTGCATCATTCAGGAGCTTGGTTCTGCCTTGGCTGGTAGTGTTGCAAAGCTGCATTCAGTGAGTCATTTTAACAGTGGCAAACGGGAGGAGCTGCTGTTCTGCATCTAGGGGACGCAGATGGATACTAACTATCAGTCTGCACGTTCTAGTGACTTGGTGTTGAACAAGGCTGATATCAACTGGCTGACTTGGCTTGCGATTCATCAAAGTTGGGAGGCTTTTCCATGGTTTTCCATGGTTCATATGGTTTCCCAAAAAAAATAACGACATCAAACCACATCACCTGGTGATGCTTGCGCTTCAATCCATGCGTTTCCGAGACCCTTGAGATGCTGGACCTGTGCAACTGCCAGCTGGGTCCAGCAGCTGCCGCCACCTTGGCGGATGTTTTGCTGCCAGCCGCCGCCGGGCCCAGGAACCCCTTGACGATGCTGCATTTAGATCGTGCCTTCGTTGGCATTGAAGTTTTGGGCATTTTTTTGTGGGTCGACATGATTTAACACCTTCAAGAAATGGGTATAATGTGATTAATAGACATATCATTTAATATTAATATGTATTAAACATTATGGTAACGATGCATGTATGCAATTGGTTGATATTGATGGGGATGGTTTTGTCAGAAACTGATGTAATGTTGATCAACTGTTTGGGCCCATGGTGCCCCATTGGTGAACCATTGAAGTTCCTCCGTCAACCGAACGGTTTCAGCGAAGTTTTCCGTTGGCAACGGCAGGAAAGAGACCTTGAGAATCTAGAAATGTGTTGGTTTGGGAATGCATTGTGGCCCGAAGGTCCAAAGCTAATCTTTCTGTTGCCCCCATGTGGTGTTTTTTTTCAGATTGTTCAAACAGGTTGCATCCTAAGAATTTGAAAACATGCAGCTTTGGCCCAGCCGATCATTGAGGTAATCTCTTGGGCTTTGATGGTGCAGTGGCCTTGTCCAGAGGCCTTCGTGGCTGGCCAGCGCCCGGATGCCGTTTGCAGGTGCTGACGCTGCGCGAGAACCGCTTGGGCGATGGTGGTGTGGGCGCCATTGCGGAGGCGAGCGGAGGGTTGTGAAGTTTTTTGATGGATCATCAATGGATCAATGGAAAATCCCCTATAAAAGTACAGGTTTTAATGGGAAAGGAAATCCAGGATTTCTGAAGCCAATGCAATCGCAGTTGTTCTGGAATTGATCGAGGCCTTGGAAGACAATGTGGCCCTCAAAGAATTAGATCTCTCCAGCAACGAGGTTCTTGCCACGGCTTGGGCCTGGGCGGTGTGGGTAGGGCCAGTTGAGGATCTTTGAGTCTCATCGGCGCAGTGATCATGATGATCATGACAGTCACCACCTCAATCGCAGGTTTCAATGCTGGGGCTCAAGCATGTAGTCAAAAAATCAGCTGGATCAGTGAATCATGTTTGGATTTGACCCCAACTTAGGGCCTAGCCAATGAGAGTACCCACTCAGGTTGGTCAGCAGAGGTTGCGATTTTGAAGGGCCAGCTTCATGGATTGAGTTTTAATTAGAAATTTTGACACGTTTGGATATAATTTATTGGAGGGTTACTTATTTTGTTTTTTTCCCCGTTTTGTTTTTTTTTTTGGATTCCTGGTTCCTTGCTTTGCTTTGCTCCTTTGCTTCTTTTCTTTTCTGCTTTTTGCTTCTCTGTTTTTCTGCTTCTTTGCTTCTTTGCTTCTCTGCTTTTCTGATTCTTTGCTTTTCTGCTTCTCTGCTTTTCCGCTTTTTGTTTCTCTGCTTTTGCTTTTCTGCTTTCTGTTTCTTTGCTTTTCTGCTTCTCTGCTTTTGCGTTTTTTTGCTTCTCTGCTTTTCTACTTTTTCCAGCTTCCTTGCTTGTTTGCTTTTCTGTGTCTACATCTATGTCTACATCTATATCTATATCTATATCTATCTCTATATCTATATCTATCTCTATATCTATATACCTACGCCTATACCTATACCTATAGCCTATATCTATCTATCTAAAAGGTTTGCATTATCATCGAGATGATATTCAAACCCCAAGCCACCCCTGAACCAAGCCAGAATATACAGTACACCAACCTTATATGAAGAGATCTTAAACCAACACGATGATAACATCCAATGAAAGTATTGTGCATTGTTGTGCCTTAACCTACCTTCCACATGTTTCCAGGGTGTATGTCGTGCATAATATACACCTTGAGTATCACATTCAACCCAGCACCTTGCATGTGACAATAGGTGTTTCCAATGTGCTTTGGCAATTTGGGGGGGAGGCGCTGCGCCCTTGTTCCCCCCCAATCCCCCCCTCCCGCTTTTTTATTTAAGTTCAAACTTGCACACGTTTCAATAAATTTATAGTTGTTTATTTACACTGCTTTCATACCCAAATAAGCTGTAAATAATCATGTAATTACATGCATATGCATACACAAAATTATTGTTATTTGTATGTACATGTTGTATCCCTAAATAACCCCTGATCCAACCCTAAACAAAACCTAATCAGACCCTAAACCAGCCCTAAAGAATCCTTAAACCAACCCCAAATAGACCCTAAACAAATCTAGAATAAACCATAAACCAACCCTAAATAAACACTAAACCAACCAAATGGACAGAGCAGGAAATCAAAAAAAACAGAAAAAAAAACAAAACAATTCCAGACCCTAATATGTCTGGTTTGTTATTCAACTGGCAAGTAAATGGACATCCACTATTTTCATGCTGCCTCTGACCAGTTCCAGCGGAGGTTGGCGATTTGGGCGGTCAAAGTATGGGCCTTTTGCTCCAGAAGGATCCTCGTTTGGCTTCACTGTCCCTGAAGAGCAACCACATCAGCGCTCAGGCTGCAGTTCTATCGCTCAGAAACTGGGAGATGAGGTAAATGTTGACGGTTGTTGCAGGAAGATTGTTGAGTGCCCCCCTACTCTTGTTTCTCAGCATGTTCAGGATATCAGGGCAGAGCATACGTACATGGTGACAAGACAATGAATTTTCAGGCCTCAGCAGCCTCAGCATGAAGAGTTCTGAGCCTTCCAAACAATCAAAGGTGGTCAGGTTCCAGCCATGCCGACTGTTTCAATTCCTGTTTCAACTCTTCAAGCTACCTGGGGAATCCCGAAAATCCTGGGAGTTTACGCAGCAATTTTGACACTGAGGTGATGCAGGAGCTAGTGTTAGCTGCAGTGTTTCCCTCTCCTTGCTGTTTGATGCCAGTGACATACAAAGCAAGAGATTTTGCCAGGTTAGCTGCCTCAGATCTGGCCACTTTCCGCCATTCTGCTGATAGCCAGGAGCTGAAGCCTTAGCCCAGGGCCTGGAGAAGAATTCATGGTTGGAGGAACTGGATCTCAGCGAGAATCACATCAAGATGGCAGGTGCCATGGCGCAAGGTGGTGGAAAAAAAATGGAAGTACTGTCACTTCCTTGGGCAATGCGGCAATTATATTTATACTTGATGTGTTTGGTTCCGTAGTTCCGTGTTAAGGCACGTTTCCACGATCCCACTTGAGAAGTGTACACTATCTTTGCTGTCCTTCGCATGCTTAATTACTGGATCTTCTGGGGGTGTCAGAGATGTGTCACATAATTTGCATGCATTTTTCAGCCACAAGGCCATGATTTGATGCCCATGGCCCATGGCATCTTCTTTTGTTGAGTTTCCCTTAGAGCCTTAGTGAGTTCGTGGCCCAGCAAAAAAAGGCGTCGGTAAACTGTGCGCAGCGCTGGAGCACAATGGAACGCTGGAGACCTTGGTCTTGGAGGGAAACGAGGCAATGGAATGTTGTTTTGATATCCTGATCCCCTGCGCTGGATCTGGTCCAGTTAATGTCCAGTTGAGATATTCTGTTTGTAGATTGGAAGTCTACCAAATAAGACAGAATCATCGAAAAGAAGACAGCAGTGAGGGTTCCACAGCTATCCAGTTGATGACATGAAGGATCATCAAAGATTGCAGGTGAAGTCAGATATCCTCGACTCGGTAGAACAATTGGCGACGGATGTGATGGTGCGGAGAGAAAGGCTAGAGAGGCGACCCGAATCCATGTTTGGTTGGTAGGGTTGCTGGAAAGATCTCGGATTGTGAGACCGTGGAACACAGCCATATCTACTAATTTATAAAGATAGCTCGAATTTGGTTTTGTATTGTTTTGCCAGGTTTTCTCCAACATGACATGCATCGCACCTGCAAATATAATTGGAGAAACTACAACTTCTTGCGGGCAGGGAGCAGCCAGATATGTAAAGTGGCTAAACCAGGTAAATCTGCAACCTCGGGGCCCAACTCAATGGTTTACAATCCCCCAACGGCCCAAACGCATTCTAAAACCGAGCGACTGAGTGGGTGGTTTCTGGTGGCCCTTGCCTATCTGGAGGCAGCCGCCAAAGATCGCGGTGACAATTGAGGAACCAGAGAGCCCCGTTGCCAGTGACAGCGAGGCTGGACAGGTCTTGAAATGTGGGGGGAACCCCAAAACATACAAAAACTAGTAGTTTGCAGTCCCCATTTTTAGGAAACCTCATGAAACCTCTATATATTGTCGGTTATTGCGTTATTGCATGTTATTGCTAGATGCTAGCCAAACATGACCCACACATGCACTGGAATATGTGAGGTGGAGTCGAGCCGGGGATCCTCCGCGTAGCTGGTTTGCAAAGGTCATGCTGGAAGTGGTCTGGAAGTGGTCCGTAGATTTTCAAGCCCTTCACAGTGAACAAGGGACTCGCAACGTTCTCTTTGCATTTCTTTGCACTTGAGAGGCATTTCAACGGTTTTTCTCAAACCAATGATTCCTGTTTGAAATGGAAGCTACGTCCAGCCTCAGGGGATACCCAGCAGTTTTTGTCGATATAAATGCTTTCTTGAATGCTTTAAATTTCTGTTTCGAAGCGCAACACTTTCAGAAGCACGTTTTGGTACTGCCCACTTAATTTACCTGTTTTTGTGCTGTCAATGTGCGACTCCCTTCATTGTTATGCGGAGAGCAATTGATCCAGATAAGACTTCCCTGTGGTAATCAAGTACGGCAACGGAAAATCCTCCAATTTGTGGATGGTTCTCCTATCTAAAAATAGATACACTTGGCGATTTTCATGTAGATGGATTGTTTCCCTTTTGCCTAATATTGTTTTACTAGAGGGATTGCATGGCCGTTCTTTGAGGGTCAATCTCCCCAGTACTGGTTGCAGACCTTCAGCTTGGTTTCGTTACAATCCATGAGGTCTGAGGAGGCACGAGAAGAAGAACCTCCAGCCGCAGCCTGTGAAAACAGTGGCGCTTGCCATGAGTTTCCCTTTTTTGACAATGGCGTTTGAATGCGTTCTGTTCATATACTTGGGTTGAATATGGTTCAAAATGATCATACATACATACCTATGTTGATTGTTGAACTGCGCTGCCAGATGATTGGTCAAGGTCGTGGATAGGGTCAATCATGACACCATGACACTCGTGGACAACTTCGTCCAGCGTCGGATGCCTTGGACTTCCATAGATGAAGTTTGGCGCAGGGTTTGGCGTCGGTGCTTTAGTTGTCCAAAAACCAACTTTGTGACAATAATGAATGGGTGCCCAGGCTTTCTCTCCCCGAACCCTGGAGAGGTGGGGACTGTCTCATACGTCTCATCCGATTGTTTTATCATGGCATATCATGGCGGTTCTTTGCCGTCACTGACCATATGAACAAATGCATGTACAGTACATAACATGGGCAATTCCCTTGCTGAACCTTGACTGACCTGCAAAGGCGGCACTGCCAGGAGGCACGGGATGTGGGACAACTTATCAAATTTTCGGAGCCGCATTTTTCGCGAGCCTGTTGTTGACATCTTCACGGAAGCCCTTGGATTTCTTTATTTTCTCTTGAATAGTCTCTTCTTCCTCTGATTCCTCTTCTCCTTTCTCTTCTTCTTCCTCTCCTTCCTCTCCTTCCTCTCCTTCCTCTTCTTCTTCCTCTTCTTCCTCTTCTTCTTCTTCCTCTTCTTCTTCCTCTTCTTCTTCCTCTTCTTCTTCTCCTTCCTCTTCTTCGTCTTTTTCTTCCTCTTCTTCCTCTTCTTCCTCTTCTTCCTCTTCTTCCTCTTCTTCTTCTCCTTCCTCTTCTTCGTCTTTTTCTTCCTCCTCTTCCTCTTCTTCCTCTTCTTCCTCTTCTTCCTCTTCTTCTTCTTCTTCCTCTTCTTCTTTTTTTCTTCTTCTTCTTACTCTTCTTCTTCTTCTTCTTCTTTTTCGTTCTATTTCTTTCTGTTATTTTTTCCCTGTTTCTTGTTTCTTGTACTTGTGGTCCTTTCTCTTTTGGAAATCGCAGCTCCACTTGTCCCAATCTGCATCTATTTAGACCTACAGGTGACCAAAGAGCCACACCGCAACCAGTGGAAGGCGCCTGGTGCGCTGATGAAAGCAATGTCAGGGAGTGGAGGTGGACCAACTGGGGGATTTCATGATTTCATTCATGTTGATGTTGTTTGAATATGTCTGATTTGTTGGGTTGTCTAAGGCTATGCTATATATGGTATATATAGGTTTGATTTTTCTTGCATAGGTGCTACGTTTTTTTTGTCCAATGGCGTTACGTCTTATCGATGTGTGATCCCTACCCCGAGAGCACAAATTTGTGGTTTATACAGGTGCTCCATGGCTCCAACTCCAAGTTGTTCAACGCTGGTCACCGCGGATCAAACCTCCCGTCCTGGCCATCTCGGGCGCTAGGCCAAAGGACACGACCTAGCTCGGCCTCCGCTAGGCCACAGGGATTTGGTGGGTGCAAGATGGTGCAAGGCTGGCAAAATGCTGCTGGTTTTGCGGAGCCAAAAATAGATCCAGGCTTGCACAGCTGCCAGCATGGAGATGAATAAAGAGATCCTATTCCTATTCCATCCTGTTCCATCCTATTCCTATGGATTTACAATGATTTACATGCCATTTCAAATGTCTAAATTTTGAAGCAGTCGTTTGCAACCCCCTAACACCAGTGGGAAGATCTGGGAACTACTTCAGGCCACCCAGACCTCTGGAGTCCAAAGTGCTGCCACGCAGTGCATCGGAGGTCAAGAGTCAACAGCTGTGCGGCTGCTGGGACAGGGACAACGGGTTACCAATGGACCCACAAAACGCTTGTCCCTTTTGCATCCTTTTGCAGTTTAAAAATCCTTTTTTTGGGGGACTAGCAAGTTTGACCCTTGCAATGCCAGAATTTGAGACCAAGTGTTTACACGTTCGAAATGTGGAAAGGCTACCTTTGATTTGCTGGGAATTTGACACTGTTTCAGAAGTGGAACACCCGGGATTAGCTTCTTGAAGTTTAGCTGCAAAGAAAGGACAGCTGTAACGATTTTAGTGATCAGTGTGGCAGGTATACTTGCCGTACAAGTACTAAAGACGTTGCCTGAAGTAATATATTGCTGCTTACCTACAGTTCGCACAGTGAATGCTGAGGTCCCGCAAAGATGTGGCAGTGTGTCAAAACCTTGTACCCCTGGTGAACATCAAAATAGCTGGTATAGTTGGATGTTCATCCCCCTAAAAATGGTATTAATAGGTATTGATCCATACCCATGTCAACATGTTGATACATTTTGTGATGCTGTGACATACCGTGGCATTTTGTTCTCAGCTGATTCATTGCAACCTTCCCCATCTCCCAGCCGGCCTTCGGCAAGTTGCAATGGATGAGGCGAGGCTTTTGGCATCTTTTGGCGTTGCAGAGTTTTTGGCCAGTTAGTGACGTAGATCCTGAAACAAACATCCAAACATATCCAAACAGCTGATTGACCAGATATGACCAGATCCCCAAGTCAGTCTGATCATGGAGTCATATATGGAGTCCATTGACTGATGAACTGCGCTTGAACCATGAGGTGCCAGCGACCTCTGATTCCACAGAGATGGGTCCAAGTTCAAGTTGTCGCAGCGATGCCGAGGCTGAAAAAAAAATGCGGCAGGTACCCTGGAGCAGTTCACAGAGATGTTTACCCTCTGGTGAACTAACATAGCAATGGAAAATCACCATTTTTAATGGGAAAATCCACTATAAATGGCCATTTTCAATTGCTATGTTAGTTCACCAGAGGGTAATACTATTCAAATCTATTCAATGTGTTTTCTTTTGTGTCTTCTTGACAAAATATATATGGAGATTGAGTTCAACATCTAAAGACAATCTAAGACAGTCTAAGACTACAGTTTTAGTATGTTTATGTTGATTTGTACGCCTGGACTTGGACACCTTGACCGATGGGACATCCAGTTTAGCACTCTTCCAGTCCTGTCCGAAGCTGGAGTTTCCAAGAGTTTCCAACACGTCTCCCCAAACCAATCGACACCATGTCATTGGAAGGTGCCTTTCCGGAGGAAAGAACCTGCAGAGCCTTTGATGCAGGACGCCCTTCCGTGTCATGTACCAGTTCGCTTTGCGAAGATCCGTTTTGCTTGGTGGTGCGACATTCTCCAAATATCGGAGACACACTTCAGATGTTTCAAGATCTGTTAAGGCAAGTAGAACTGAGATTGGAAAGATTTTAAGACACTTTGTACAGTACAATTTACAATCCTTCCAAACATCGCACCTCGGAGGCGACCAAGAGCTTGAAGCCCAAGGCCACCACCAAAGTCACCCGAAAGATTCGCGGCTGTGACGCTCGGTGAGAAATCACGTGGACGTTCCCCCAGTTCCCCGGCCATGGTTTTGGGATGTTTTGTGAATATCTAGACCCTCAAAAAAACACAAGATCCCACAACAAGTATGCTATTAGAATGTGCTAATAGAATTATAGATATCATAGAATGAATGAGATTATAGAATAGTATAAGTATGATATATGTATTGAAATGACATGTAAAAATGATATAACTGCTATTTTGCCACCCAATCATGGATAAAAGTGGCACTTGTGCTATATTTGTTTACCATGTGTTGTGGGTACTTTGAGTCTTAAGGTATGAGATATCATTAGCACTATTGGAGGGGATGTGCTTGTGTGATCAAATATATATATAGGCACAACCTGCCTGATGCATTCTTTGCATTTGTTGGCATGTTTGGATTGTGGTCATGGTCCGCGGTTGCATAAATAAATGTCGACCCAGCTGTCGAGACAACATGCGTAAGCTGTTTAGAGTCATCATCAGACTGCCATGAAGCCATGAAAGCAACACGGGCAACGTGGGCCTGAGTGATCTCAGGACATACAACGCCTTTGGTCGGAACAGAGTCTGGGCAGCAAAGAGTCAAGAACTGAACCTGTACTTGAAATGTTCGCTCCTCCATGTCCTTGTAACATCGTTCCAGAATTGACAAGCAATGAGCAATCAATCAAATGGACAGAGTTGCAGTTTTAATGCTGACAGCTGTAGGTGCAGTGATTTGTCAGTTTTTTCGCGAATGGCAATATGTCCCAATTTTCAGGAGCAAGATTCGAGAGCAGATTGAAGCTGGTCGGCCATACCAGGTTCAAGGTGCTACCCCTCCCGCGGGAGGGGAAGCCATGATGAAGCCATGGCCGGGAGAAGCAGCCCTTTCCAACCATGGCTGATCAGCTAGGAATATATTGAAATGTATTGAAATGTACTGAAATTTGCTGAAATAGATCTACACCTCACAACTAAAATCAACTATGCCAAAGTGCATCAAAGTGCCAAAGCAGGTTTCCTTGACATTTCTTGGATTATAACTACTTACATTGTGATCATTCTGAGGCTGGAATTACCATGACGAACCTGGAAGTGGTGACACATTTGTGGAAACTGGATGTTTGCCATGAAGATGTTTTCTTGAACAATCAGAGCCACATTGCCGTGCAATGTCCACCTTCAGCAATATGTTTATTACATTTCATTGTATACTATCTTCACAATGCTGATATATATATATATACATATATATATACTACACGGAAATCCAAAACACTGTATAATTATATATATAATAGATATATATTATATATATATACCCATAAATTGCTATATGCAGAGGCACTCTGAGAGAATATGTAAAGAATTACTATAGATGCCCTGCCCGAAGCACTGAGTCGCACAGGTGTCAAAAAATGGTTGTTTCTTGTTGCGTGGCAGGTCTTTTGCAGATGGAGTGGCAGTTGAGCAAGTTCATGGCGGAACTTGAGGACGACCATCGAGCATGAAGCTCGCTTCTCGAGCCTATTCTTAGTGTTGGATTCTGACCCAGATTCACCTCATTGATCATGAATATCATATAATATCATGATTGGCAAGATCCATTCACCTTCAACAAAAATCAGAAAAACATCAGCTGCCCAAGATCTCGGATGTGCTGTTAAGCGCAGGCGAAGCACGCCAATGCCGAGTCGGTGATCTTGGATTTGGCCAAGGAGCTGGTGCGAACGGCTCAAGAGGCGACACGGGAGATGTTTGTTGTTTACCATCGAAGCATTACCATCTGGTTATGACTAACATAGCCATGGAAAGATCCAGCATTTTAAATAGGTAAACCATCTATAAATGGGCCATTTTCCATGGCTATGTTAAATAACCAGATGGTAAGGAAGATTACCATTAGTAACCGTTAGTAACCATTAATTAATTGTACTAATTACAGCGCGAGCGTTATATAAGAATGTTGGTCCGGAAAGGGCCCATGTACTTCAGTATGTGTGTGCAATTAATCGGTCGAGGGTCCCTCAATTTCTTAACAATTTCTTAATGTAGAATGCAATGACACACCCAAGATTCCCAACATGCTGACGGATATTGGCGCCTTGGCTTTAGGAAAGAGACATACAAAGTTTAAGAGAAGACACGTTCATGCGGCATTTTGCCTGTGACGCATTCCAAATTTAGATTAAAAATATTAAAGTCAATCAGAGGGCAAAACCCAAGAGCAGATAGATGTTCATAAAGTCTCCGCAACCTTAGGCGTAGGAACCGCAACCTTTCACGGGATAGGGGTAGGAGCCAGTTCTTTCACGGAGGTGTACAGGCTAGTCATGGCTAGTCATGGCTAGTCTCTAAAATCACACCATGGCTAAGAAATCCAGCCCCTCAATCTCTTGTGCCCATCAGTTTCTTCGCAAACATCCAAATTTCTTAGGCTTGAAGATTCCAGGGTCCCTCAATTTCTTACTTTCCATTTGCATATACATTCCACAAAACATCTACACGGGAAACAAATCCAGCCCCTGATTTTCTTATACAAGGAATTCTTACTGTATACAGTGCTGGGAACTGTAATAGATAATCAGTAGCCATTAATTAATAGATATTGAGCAATGGTAACCATTAGTAACCAGTTGGTTCATATATAGCTAATACTAATTATATGAAAGCATACATGTCACACGCCATGTTCTGTCAATGTCATATAGATGCAGTCGCCACCCTGTGATCCAAGTGCATGCCGGCAATCTCGTGGACAGGTGGAGAACATCAATTGCCAAGGGGCATCGGTCGAAGAGCGTTTGGAACAGCTTGAATTGAAGATGTGCCCTGGTTTCATCAGATTTCATGGTTCAGATGATGGGTCTACCGATAAGGTGGAAGAGTGATAAATCATCACTCCATGTCCGCATCAAATGACCTTTCCCGCCTGAGCTTCATTGTCAGAAAATCAAGCGTGCAGTCCGAGTCACAAGTGATAGAACACTTATAACATTTTATAAACAGTTTTTGCAGGAGAGATTTTGTCATCTCCCCACTCTATGAAATTAGACCTCTCTTTAAGAATTTTGATACGGAGTCGGAGTGCAAAGAACAAGTTTTCTAGGTTCCTGGGACGAAACACATCGAAACACATTAACTAAATCACATGTTTGAAGCAGAAATACTGTTTTTTGCTATTTCTGTGAGGGTTCAACATTAAAAAAACCATCACCATGGCATGATCACGTTCCGCTGCTCGCATCTTGAGGCGTCAGAGTGCACCAAGCTTTACGCTGGAGGAGAGCTTTGAATCGTTGAGATGTTTGAAGGATATTCGAAAAACATATTTGGGGCGTAGAAACCATGCTTTAGTGATCTGTAGATATCATTAGATATCTGTAGTGTGTGTTTTCCCTCAAGTCCATCCATTGAAAGTTTGAGTTTGCTTCGGAGGATTCCCCACGGAAAGCGGATGTGGATGACCTCTTCCATTTGGACCTTGCCACGGCAGGCCACTGGTATTGGTAGTTCTTGATGCCCTGTTGATAAGGTGCCCTTCGACAAACCTGAATCAGAAGGATAATTATTGTTGCAATTTTGAATCAAACATCCACATGTCAGAACGTGCGGTCAGTGAAATGTGAGACAGTAAAGGCATGTGCGTTTCATGTTGGTGCATTGTGATGTTGAATGGTTTTCAATTTGCGCAGCTTAAGTCTTTGCAACAGGCATCGTTCAATCTGACCAAAAAGCGCATAAATTCTTTGAGTGTGACAGGGATTTGGGCGAAAGTTGATGAGTACAGCTGCGCAGCTTGCGTAAGTCAAGCTTCTAATTAAATGTTTGATTTGTTAACAATTATTTTATCAATGTTTTGGACAATGGCATGGACGGCTTCTTTTCTACATATCTTCCCATTCCAAAAAGACAGAATCATGAAGGATCATAGACGATCATCGGTATATCATGGATCCCCAATGATTTTTCTACCGGCAGTTGCGAAGTGGCAGGTCGTCGTTCACCTTCCGAAGTGGCCAGCCGTCCGAGAGGGCGCAGGGAAGTTGCCACGTGGAGCGGCTATGAAGCTCCAGGCAGCCCAAAAGGTGATATGTTTTGATCAATGGGAATTCCAGGATCCTAAATTGGAGGTACTGTACCATATAAGATATATAAGGCCATATTTTGGGGGTATATCTCCTTACATAGCCCTTACATAGGCCTTATATATGGTAGGTACCTCCAATTTAGGTTCCTAAAATGGCCATTGATTTGATGACGAAACAGAAAGAACATGAAGGAATGACGGATCAGATGTTTGTTGAGGTTGGATGCAGAGGTGGGTCCTGATGGGGTCCTCAACCCAGGTATGGATTGCAAAAATATGTCGCAGGTGAGCTCATCAGCAAAGCGCAAGAGAAATTGACTGCAAGGCACCAGCCAATTTCCGATGTGTTCATACTTCCGTTTGCATATGGTTTTGCAATGTTTTGCATATGAAAACAGTGCACTTCCAAATTTTGATGTTTGTTTGATCATCAATTTCCTATGCGCCGATATGTTCATATGTTTTCATGTATATACATAAATTCATATAAATGTTCCGTCTATTCAACAGCCCTTTCTAGGGTGTTCCGTCCTTTTTTGTCAAACCCACATATAGAATATGTGTACCGACCTGTCGCCAAACATTCGCACATTGTGAAGCTGCCACTATTGCGCCATGATGCGCCCTTGGCAGGCCTCAGACCTTGCCTCTCGTGACAAGTCAGGTACACCAGGTCTGCAGCTTGCGATGTTGATGAAAAAAACATATCTATTTGACAGAAAGTGTAAAAGTATCATGGTTTAAACATGTTTAAACTTTGTTTTTTTTTGCATTTTCATAAGCATAAGATATAATAATGATAAGTTATCATATGTTAATGCATGATCAATATTGTCAAAGATTGGAATGATAAGATTCAATCGTGCAATCACACATCTATCAACATTTTGTGCACATGTGTGTAACGTCGTCCACAGTCTTTGCAGGGCAGCGTCGATCACCGGAAATTGTTCGAATCAGCAGCTGCTTGGCGATTGCCCAGATTTCTTCCATCAGCATTGACTGAAGGTAAGGTAATTCCTTGAACCTTTAAAACTTGTGATAGACTTGTATAGACTATTAACCGCAGGAAATTCATGATTCGAGGTTTGCCTTAGTTCATCTTAGTTCCATGTTTTTTGACGATGGAAAGCCCCACCGATCGCCCCAAGGCATCGAAAGCCATCGCAGACGCCTTCAACGAGGCCTCGGTACAGCTACGTGCGCTAAGTAGCGAACTGATGTCCTCCATGCAGAGACTCAGCAGAGATTGGCTTCGGGAGATGACAGGGTCCAGATGGGTCCAGGCTGCTTGTTTCGAATCTGTTGCCCTCTGGTAAATAAACATAGACCCTGAAAATCAACAATTTTTAATGGAAACTAGTCTTCCAACCCCTATCTGCCAGGGTCTATGTTAATTTACCAGAGGGTATTCTTCATTGACTGCCATTGGAAAGATTTGACACATGTTTGTTAGGATGGGTTGAGAGCACCAACCGGTTTGCTTTCTTTGGTGTCAAAAATGGTTGCGAGAGCTTGCTGAGACAGTCGCTTTTAGCGTTTTCGAACTTTAGATGGACATGTGGGAAAGTTGGACTGCGCACATCAGCGGCGCTTCAACTCCACAATGGGCTGCTCGTCCATACTTGTGTGAAACGGTTGCCATGAGTTTGCAAACTGCAAAGTGTGCAATAATCTATATTTGAACACTATTCAGAATTAGATTAAACAGATTAAACAGATTAAACAGATTAAACATACCATTTGAACATGTGAATCTTGGATCCATCTCATGATTCACCAAGACAAAGCTGACGGGCATCCTGGGGCTGGTTCTATGATTTTCTATGCCAGTGACATCACCTGATTCCATCACTAAGGAAGGCCACAACCCTCGACATCGAAGCCAAAAAGAAGGCACAGCGTTAAATCATGTGCCATGTTAGGTCCTATATGGTCCTATTAGGTGTTTGGTCATTGGCTTTCATGTGCCGGAGCATGTTGAAAAAAGTGATTGCTGTAAGGCCGTAAGGTTCACCTGAAGAGATATTCGCACTTCTGTTCAACCCTCCATTGGTTTGATCTAGGGCTTGTCAGTGCTCATTTGCAACAACCTCAAGTCCTCCCAGATCAAATCATGAAACATTTGCCAAAAAAACATTCATCAGTCATATATGAATTCATATCATATATAGAGATATATATAGATATATAGAAAAATTACATCACACATCTCCCCAAAATTTCAGATTCCCAGTGTTTCCCAGCTGAAATATGTTGATTTCTGGCCCCCGGTTGCCCCATCCAGGACTTGAACAGCGAGCTGCAGATGGCCCTGGAGTCGCTCCGCGCCGTGGCTCCCGCCACGGCGGCGGCGCCTGCGGCCGTGCAGCTGGAGCCGCTGGAGCCGCTGGGCCCCGCTGGGCCTGGGGAAAGTGGCCGGGAAGTGGTGAAAAGTGGGCGAAAATCATCCGACTTCTCCCTGTTTGTTCAGTGTTAAACACCCCCAAGAAATCTGTGTTAAACATATTGTTTAGTACTGTAAACAGTAGGAAACTTCCGTATTTTTGAGGACCATACAAATGGGGTGTTTAGTATTAGGGGCATGGAATTAGGACAAACAATCCATTCATAGGGATTGATATACGTGCTATAATACACCCATTATGTGAGGATTCCCATTATGGGTTGGATGATGATGGGGTTTGCGTTGAATTATTGTGGTTCTCGGGTACCCCAAGAATGGAATGGATGCTTTGTACATGAGGCTCGTTCAAAAAATCATCGTTGCTAGGTTCGGTAGAGATCATCTCGAAGGTTTTTGAAGCAGTGCCATGATACATGGAATGCAGGATACCATGATGACAGGTTCTCAAGGGAGAAGCCTCAGCTTCATGATTTCATGCACCAACATCTGGCCACACCAACTGCCCTGATTTGAGGCAACCTGAAGCTGGTCAGGCGTGGTTGTGAGTGCTCGGAGTGACAAGGGGGTATTGATTTCTAAACCCACCGCCTTTGATTTTGTTCCATCATTGTGAGTTGTGCCAGGCAGCAGGCTTGACCATGCCATCAAATCAGATTGCTGCCACCACTACAGTCACTACAGGCCGGGCGCTCACTGCTTGTACTGGTTTGCAGGAGCTAAGCCTCAAGCGCTAGAATGCATGCATTACTGTGATTCACTGCCTGCAGGGGAGAACTTCTGTGGTTCAAGCACTGCAGGGCAGGACAGCATTGAGTTGCCCCCGTGTGTCCATTGTATTCTGAATTGTTTCATGCAAGGCAAATAATTATAATTAGTTTATATTACACATACTATTATTATATATCCTTTCAAACATTTTCAACCATTTGAACATGTGTGTGTGTGTGTGCTGTAGGTTGCCAACATACAGGGCCATGAGGGCTGCAGGTTGCCAACATACAGTGCTTTGGGTGTTGCCGGTTGCCAACATGCAGGGCTTTCAGTGCTGTAGGTTGCCAACATACAGGGCCATGAGGGCTGCAGGTTGCCAACATACCAGGCTTTGAGTGCTGTAGGTGGCCAACATACAGGGCTATGCGGGCTGTAGGGTGCCCCACATACAAGGCTATGAGGGCTGCAGGATGCCAACATACAGGGCCATGAGGGCTGCAGGTTGCCAACGTACAGGGCTTTGAGTGCTGTAGGTTGCCAACATGCAGAACTATGAGGGCTGTAGGGTGCCCCGCATACCAGGCTGTAAGGGCTGTAGGTTGCCATCATACAGGGGTCTTTGACTTCCTGCCAAACTTCAGGAGTCTCCTAAGACCAGAGTTGCAAAGCGACGGCCCAGTCAGAGGATCCTGGGAGCGTTGGCTTGTTTTGGGGTTGCTCATTTGCATCGAGCGTTCGACGGATTCGCGGTGGGGCAAAGGATGATGGAAGAGAGTTTTAAGACATTTTAAGACGGTTCGAGCAGCAAGAGATGAAACAAATCGTCCATCCTTCTTCATGTGAAGTTTGAAAGTTTCAGCAGCGCAATGAGATGCCATGAGTCATTCAGTACGGTTCAGTCAAGTCTGAATAGTTGGTAAGCTCGGATCACACGCCTTGGATAGTTTGCATGAAAGAGCAACGTGGTGCAGGGGAGCCCGGGTGTTGTAAAGCGCACTTTGACCTTGTTTCTTTGGACTATTTTTTAAAATTGTTTTTATGGATTTGGAACAACTGCAGGGCCAGAAAGATGTTCCATTCTTGCATTTCCAGGACACCCCTCCACTGGATTTTAAGCCAAACTTGAATTTGTTTTGCATGTTTTGTTTATGCCAGGTTCATGTTTGATGCCCACGTCCATCAGCTTAGATCTGAAGTTGGGTTTGTTGTTTCAGGTTGTACGCTCTGCTGAAGATGATCGCTGAATTCTCCGGCACCAAATTTGCTGCCGCATGCAGCAACCAATCTGTAGGATTTTGGATGAGATGGACTTACAAGGGTTGCGTGACAATGCCTGAAGTCTAGTTAGACAACAGAAGTCCCAATTGATCCGAATTGCGCATTGATCACGATTCATGCAACCTCTTGTCAATGTTGCAAGCATGCAGGGCTGAAACAGAAGCCAAATTCAGCGTGCTTGGCCTTTCATGCGCAATCTTTTGGGTTGAAGTTTGGGCTCAAGCTAAATCCAATGATGTTCAATGTCAAGTATTATTGTTGGTTGCGCGTGCGAATGAAAAGTGCGTTAAGCTCTCCCATTTGTACAGATTCTTGGTTTGGGCCTTTGGCAGCGCATTGTCCCTCAGGTTCTTCGCGCACAAGCGCCAATGCCTGGATTCTGAGTTCGAGTCAATCATTTGACCTCCTGTATGTGCTTAGAATGTGGATTTCAGATGCAAACGGCATCAAACTTGTACATTTCTTGTCTCCAAAAAGTTGAGCTACAGTGGAAGATCGAGTGGGATGTTTCCTCATTTGTGTTTCCAATATCAGTGAACATATTATAATTTAATCTAATTTGTCATTCACAGACTTTGATCAGACCCAGCAGGTTCTGTGGTGCACACCAGAAACATTCAGAAGCAATGGCACTAAGTTGAAGTTTTCGCCTGGGGTTTTCGGCCTCGCAGTGGATCCAGCGACGAAAGTAGGTCGCCGCAGCTTCCTGGCTCATGTGAAGACATGGGATTTTCGCAGTGATTTTTTGTGTCAGCGATACATTCCTGGTAATTTCAAGAGTCAAATTGCATTAGTCGACATATTAAGACGTGACTGGTTGGTGGTTTGGAACATTTTTTATTTTCCCCAATACTTGGGATGATGATCCAATCTGACTAATATTTTTCAGAGGGGTTGAAACCACCAACCAGATGACAATGAGATACAATGAGCCTACCTATAAGCATACTGGGCATATAGAGGATCATACGTCGGCATACAACGGCAATGGATGTTCATGTCCTGGATTCGAACATTGCAATGGAATTTCCCCTCTAAATTGAGGTTAAAGTTGGGAAAAGCATCTATATAAAATATATTATGTATATATATATAGAGTGGAGGGTGCATGATGTACATTGTCCTACATCTAGTCTGATCGGATGCATTTGTGGCTTTTCTGCAGATGTGTTTGCACCTCAGCTAGCTGGCAGCTGGGTCCAGGTTCAGCATTTGCAAAGTCTCAACACCTGGGTTGATCTGACAATTGGGGTACCCCCCAATTCCAATGGAATATCATGGAATATCATGGAATATCATGGAATATTATCCTCTTCCGAACATGGCATGCAATGGCTCTGTTCCCCCCCAAGTCAATGGTTCAATGGCCATTTGGTGGGATATACCATATGACATATACCATATACATCCTATATATACTCAGAAATCCATAGAAATCCCCAAGTCTGACCGTTCTTTTCCTCCTCACAAAGGCACGCCAGTGTTTTTAGCTGGCCATGGCAGCCCTGGAAGAGTTTGGCTTCCCAGCAGTTGAACGCTCATGGTTCACAAAAAGCTTCCGGGTTGGATCATGGTGTACTAAAATATGTCGATCAACATATTTATTTCAATATTTCAATATATATTATATATAGTAATCTATTATATAATAGATATAATCTATTATATATACATACATAGTTCAATATATTATATTTCAACATCTATGTCTTAATATATTGGTTCATATCTCGCCGCATATTTCCATCGTTCCAACTCCAGTGCCTTTTCGCTAGCCACTTTACCAGGCCCGACCAGCGGATCATCGAGCGGATCTTCGAGCGGATCTCCTGCTACCGCAACGACAACCGCGACAAGGAGGAAGTGCTCAGCATCATCACGGTGCGCTGGCCGCGAGGAATTCCACCCCTTGGGTGAACATTGCTGGGGCTGTTGGGGCTGTTGGGGGAGATTGGAGAATGTTGGGGTATACGATGATAGATGGCTGATAGATGGCTGATGGGTCCTAGAAATTGTTTAGAATTGATTGAGGAAAAGTAATTGGGTGAGGAAAGTTCATCATGATTCTGAGGGTAAGAAAGATCATTTTGGACCCAGAGGGAATGTACGACCCATACCCAGACGATGTGTGATGGAGTATTCTGTACAAGCCACGCTTGGCAAACGCATGATAATCGTTTGTTCTCTCTTCGCATGTCACTACTCAAAATGATTAGTGACCACAAACAACGTCACACTGATTTCACTTTTTGCTTCCGATGGATGTTTCGGTTTCAACGGTGCTTGGTGGTACCAATGTCGCGGTCGATTTTTTTGCTGCGAAATCAAATCCCCGCGCCAGAAATATGGCTGGGCGATCCGCTATGCACCTCCGCTCTTCAGAAACTCTGAGGAAGTTTGTGTCATGCCCTCGGTCGCGGCGTCGTATGGAGGGAGTAGTGGACACCCGATGACACCCCGAAATTATCCGAAATTGGTGTTTGATCATGAAGTGTGGTTGGAGGAGCTGGCATGTATGTATAATGTACATATATATATATAATTATATGATTGTGTTGATCTTACATTCAAGATCATGTAAGATTTAAGTGGATGGTCTGTTTGAGCAGTTTCTTGAAATTTGTGCCCCAACAAGTGCATTCAATCCTCAGACCCCAAGGTCGCGGCCATGAAAACTTATGGTCTGGGTCTTGAGTTCCTGTCACCAGCCATGCGTGACAATGAGAAGGCGAGAGGGTTGTGCTGGTGAGTTGGGGATAGCCTGAAAAACACAAATCACATGTTTTTCTGCTTTGTCATCAGCTCCTTTCATGTTTGGTCCTTTTTGGTGATGTTTGGCGGCAAGTTCGGGGTGTGCAATTTTGCCCAAAACCAAAAGGATGAAAGCAAATCAATGGGTACTTCGAAGATTGTTGAAGCTCTCCAGTGCCGGGTTGCAGCGTGGAAGTACTTCAATGCGAGTCAGGAAAGTAACGTTATTAGCATTATACATGAGAATCATTGATTTTTGTTTATTGCTATCTAAGATATAATGCACAGCCTCAAAAGGGTGCAATCAATTTGATGATGTTCATTTTCTTGAGTGAACCCTGAAAGATTGAGAGGTCTGAGGACAGTCAGCTGCTTTGCCACAGGTGGTGAAGGCTGCAGTGAGCCATTGCGGAATGGCATTGATTTTCGCGCCCAAACCCAGCAGGGGGTTGAAGGAGCTCACCAGTCATTACTCAACAAAGACTTGTTTGATTCGATCATTCGATCATGGCACTGGTGTGAAAAGTTCTTGCAAGAACACATTCGAAAGCTCCACGCTTACTGCCTCCGTTCCGCTGCATATTTGAAATTCTACTGTACTTTCAAGCCGAGGCACCTGCCGAATTTCGAAATCGACGTGACATTGTCAAGCAGGTATGGAATGGATCGAGCGATGTCCGACATGAAACCAAACACTGGGAGTTTTACGTCCACTTGTGACAATAAACATTCATGATTAAACATTAACACGTGAGTCATTTTCTGCAGAATCCTTCGGGGAAAAAGAGACTGAAGAGATACAGAGAGGTGAACCCTGGAGGCTGTCCAAAATGCTGGGCTCGCCCTGGAGTTTGCTCATCCGGACGGGGTGTCACTGAACAGTCGGATGAACGTAGACGAGCATGCTTTGTTGAGCGCACGATGCGCGACATGTGAAGTGTTTTTGCACTCAACCTTACTTTGATATGCTTTGATATACTTTGATAAACTTTGTACATGTGTTGAACATATTTCCACGAGGTGAGCATGATGCCATGTGTCACAGATTGTCACAGAGAGTTGGCGCAGGATTTAAGGAAGGACCAGAGCATTGTCTACTACGCAATGCAGAAGGAGTTGATTATGTGATGTGGGGGAGGAAAACAGCACTTGAGCACACTCTAAGGCATATTGCATCTGACTGCATCCGGGTGGAATCATGCTACGTTTCCTGTGCTTTCCTGCAGCTGTATAGAGTTGATCAAACTGAGACTGAAACAGCATTTGGAACGGCATGGCAACCTTGACGATCAAGATTCACTTTGGGAACGTTAAGAGTCTCAACAAGTCTTCCCAAAGATCGGCTGGCTACCTTGGTATCCTTGGTCGAGTCATGAAGCCTGGCCGGCACTAGGTCTGTCGGTGTCTTTGGGCCATGCAGCCTTTGCACCCAACCATGATGCAATGGATTACTGTCCCACAGGGTCAAATCTCAGACCAGGCCAGTGATGGGCGACAGATGGCGACAGTGTCGATGTTGTTTTTTTATGTTTTTTAAAAAAAAACTGCCCATCTGATGACAATTGAAAGGATGGTGATGGTGTTTTAACGTGATTCAACCAGCGGCAATGGTGATTTCGGACTATTTATAACATTATTTCATCAACCATCATAAGGCTTTTGATGTTGATTATGTATAGGAATTTCGTAGTAATCCCTACACCCCAGATAGTTAGTAAAGACTCCTGGATGAATTCTCAACGGTATAAAATCGTCCCGCAGCGTTTTGGGCCAAGCCTTTTTCGGCCCAGCGTTTTGGTCACAAAGAAACAGATCATGCACTAGTTCAACCTGCGGTGCTGCGGTGGAGACGAGGAAAAACCCTAAACCCAACAGTGCTCCCCCGAAAGAACCGCAGCTCCATAACTAACAAAATGCGGGTACACTTCAGGTGCAGGGGGGTGGGTAAAGGGCAAAAAGTGGTGCAAAAAACATTGAAGGCTGTTCCAGTCTTAAGTCCAAAATACCATTCAATTGAATTTCAGTCTGTTTTTGTATCAAAATATACCCGCAGTGTGGGTATGGCACAAGAAACAACCAGTTTGCGGGTCCGATGGTACCCCATGTTTTATCATGTTTTATCTCTGAGCCAAACCCATGCACGTCTTGCATATTGTTCCAGTGTCCTTTATGGATCTTTATGGGAACCTGCTCAATCTTGTAGGAAACTTGGGAAATCCATTTGCCTCCGACTGTCCTTCGAAATGAGGGTGAAAGAAAATCTCATAAAATTTCAATGTTTTTGGATGGGTTCTGGGTGCATGATGGGCATGACAAGGACCATTTTTGAAGCTGCCCAAAAGCATCCAAAAGCAACATCGTCTCTCCAGGTGCTTGATATGCACTTGGCTTACGGCTTTTGCCCAAGATGAGGCCATGGTGACTTGGTGCCAAGACAGAAATCCGGGAGAAATCGGGAAATATTGCCATTGAATGCCATTGATATTATCAACGATGATAGATATGATGATATGATGATACAAGATGTGTTCATGATGTCCATTCAGGTGGAGCCAATCATGACCAATCAAGATGTCTCAAATGATGAAGTCTCATGGCTATCGTAGAAATTCACAGTGGGGCCGCTGCCAAGGAGGACATTTTCGCTGCTCTCGGGCAAGAGTTGGAGCACGAGGTTGGGCTGTTAGCAACTGCTGCACCATGCTATGGCAGGGGTTGGTAACTGTCCCATTTTGGGTATATTGGACATCACCTTATAGTAGCCATTATAGACCATATACCTAATTAATGGTTGGGTGATGTTCAATGGGGACATTTAATGATCCATGTATGGATTTGCTACCTTGGCACTGCCAGGACTGTTCACTCCTCGGGGGTCGTGACTGCGATGCCGGCACTGCATTTCTGCAGACGAAGTCAGCATACCGCTGGACGTCCTTGGGAGCCGAGACAGAAACGGCGCCAATGGCGCCAAGCTTCTTTCAGATGGGTGAGGAGGTGCCAACAACCTTTTATTTTTTTTAAATCCGGAGCAGGTTTGGGCAATATCAAATTGAGTAAGATGTTGCGGCTGTCGAAAGGTTGCCCACAAATCACTCGACTTCTGTAAAACTCGTGACCCACAGAAAAGATCAAAAAAGGATGTTACTAGCCATGCATCCTTAGATATCCCAAGAATGACCAGCGATTTTTACAGGCCCCATGGGCATCCACACAAGGAGACCCGCATCGCCAGGTCACAAGTCAGGTGGGTGTGGTGCATGGGGCCTCCACTGCAAGCGCCACATCTGCAACGGTGGGAGAAGTTCATATGGATCGCACGCGGCAGATGCGGCAATGGCAGGACGGGTGCCCTTCAGCAGTGGTGTTCGAACAGTCGTGAAAGCCCAAAAAGCACAGCTACAACAAGGTGCAAGTTGGGGGCAAAGTGTGAACTTTGCCAGCATTGATATGGGGAATCAAGATGAATCAAGTGTGTGCTGCACGCTCTTTGTACAGGATGAAGGATATTATATAGTCGGGGTTCATCTATCATCACCGATCATTGTGTGGATTTTCAATGGGGTCATACGTTTGCAACCCATGGGTGTGTAGATCAGGAATTGAGCATCAATCGAATCTGGCCTGGGCCAAGCCGGAAAGTGGCCTTGTGTTATGGCATGCTATGGCTACGACACTGCACTCCAAAATCTAAGGGTCTCAGTGCTCGCATGGCCTAAAGTTCAATCCGTGTTGCTCACTTCCCAAAGGAGGATGCCGTGGAGATCTACACGGACACCCATGCCACCTCTGCAACTGCCAAGACAGCTGCGACGGTTGTTGCAGCCACGATTTCAGAAAGCCGAGGAGCATTAGCCAAAATGCCACTGTGCTGCATTTTAGTTTGGGTCCCCGGAAATTTATCTCAGGACAACCCTTTTGCGGCAGTAGATCAATTATACTTGTACATTGCACTTGCAACAAAGAAGTTTGAACTTTGCCCTTTGTATTCCACCAATTTCCACCGTTTTCATTGCCATTTTGACCTCTTATTGAAGGTGCTGGCAATCTACAAGCCCATGATCTCATCACATGGCTAAGCCATGCTAGGGATGTTAGAGCTGATGCTTGCGGGAGTTTGGAAGATTCAGATTCTCTGACAGTCTGAAGATTACAAAGTGGTCCATGCCATCCACCAAGGCAGATCTTTTTGACTGCTTCAGGGCTTTGGTTGGCCGTGCTTTTCTTCCTGGTGGTCCTTGTGGCTACCTGGCTTGGTCGCTGGTGGGCAGCCCCTGCGAAGGCGGAAACCGAAGCGGAAGCTGCAGAGGAGCCATCCGTGGATGTGTGGCAGTCCAAAAGCAGCCATTGAAGGCCTGAGTATTCTACTCCTACACATATTCCATGATATTTCTATATGTGGAGATATCTGGAGTTTGTGTTCAGATATATTTGATGTCTTTTGATGTGATATTTGATATGTTTTGGAATTTTCGTTTAGTAATTACCAAAAAGCAAGAGAATGGTAATGAAATATATATATATATATTATATTATATATATATTATATATATATAATTATATATATGTGACATTGTGTGTGTGCCACTACTCCAAAGGACCAAAGGATTGGATTGTACCAAATTCCATCTTTTTTCCGAGTTTCTAAGTGCAGGAGACTGATGACACCGCCAAGCCCAGCGTGCAGTTCATCCCTCGCCCGAGCTGCGAATCGGCTGAGCAGAGGGGCGCGCAGAGCAACGAGCTGCGGCGATACGTTCAGGATGAGAATTGGGGACGGATAGATTAGCAGATATTAGCAGGATAATCCCAGGATATCAAGTTAAGGATTCTGGGCCCCTTTTTTCAATGAGCCCCTGATGGATGGAGTTGTTCAAGGTTTGGCTTGAGGGTTTAAGGAACATGTTTGCAATCAAGATTGTTTAAGTCGTTCTTCAAAAAAAACACAAATCCACGAATGCATTCCTTCCAATGGAAATCTCTGTTTTGAAACAGTTGTGTGTGAGTGTGCAAGTGGTTCTTCCATGTTCTTCCCATCTCCGTTTCTCTCACCCCCAACCCCCAAACCCCAAGTTTCACAGAGCCTGCAGACTGGATGCTCAAAATATCTCAAACCATGGATCAGACATTTAAGAATATTTAAGATACTACATTTTCAGTGGGCCAGTAGCGCCATTACCCACAACCATCCATAACCATCCATAACCCATTCTTCTCCCCCAGTTTCATCCCCAGGAGGCGCATGGCATTTCTTCGGAGGAGGACTTAGCGTCGCTCCTCCCCGAGGCTTCGGGCTACGACTGCGCCCTGTCGCGGCCGGCCAGCAGCGGCCAGGCGGTGCGGCTGGCGGTGAGGATCGAAGGACCCCTGCCAGGTGCAACGGGGGGATGGCTTGGATGGGGGCCCTGGGGGCCCTGGAGGCCCTGGGGCCCTGGAAATGGTGTGAACTGGTTGGAATGTGGGAATATGTGGGAAGATATCGGAAGATGGCATGGCAGCATGGCAGTATGGCAGCATGGCAGCATGGTAGGGCACTCGCAGTTTTTCCATTCCAGAAATGAACAGATAAGGATACAGTTCATGTGGGCATAGAAGTATGTGACATGATCTGTTTGGGGTCATCAGATGTGAATTTTGGGGCGGCAACCACCTGACGCTGGGCAATGCTGGGCAGGTGGTCCACCACCCTTGGGCTTGCTTCGAGCACCCCTAAGTCAACGGAGTTGCGTTTTCTTCTCGGCCGCGGTGGAAGAAATCCCTGGAAAGGGGGAGAGCTCGCAGTCGCCTTTGCAGAAGAAGGTGAGGGGCCTTGTTATCCCTTGCTGGACCAGCAAAGATCGTTAAAAAGAATGACATGTGGATGCAAATAATGAACTTGTCTCCTTTTTTATGCTCTTTCTATGGTGTTCCTCTCTATGCTTCCCTCTTTGCTGTCTACCTCTCTCTTTCTTTCTACTTCTCTCTTTGTCATTTTTTTCCATGTTTGCCCCTTAGCAAATCAAGAACAAAACATTTGCGTCCAATATCATGACCCCGGAAGACGTAAAGATGCACAGCAGATATAAAGGATGCCAGGGTGTGACTCACTTAAAGACTCACTTGTTGTGCGTCATGGTTTCTTGCACCTCCAAGTCATCCCTATGGCCTTGCTCACATGTTTGACTGGTAGATAAACCTTGTACCTCAAGGAGTTTACAAAGCCCATTTGGAACTTTGGAACACTTTGGAACTGTTCTGTCAACGGCTTGAGATCATCAACTTGCACATTGCAATCCATTTCATGGTGACCTTCGAAATCCTTACATCATCGATATCCAAGCCTTTGGGTCATCAGCCCTATCCCGAACTTCGACTCCGGCGGTCGCAGGTCGTTGACTCCGTGGATTTCCAGGTTTCATTGGTCGGTGCTCCCTCCATTCGCATCGACGTCACCGGCTCCGATCTCACGGTGCTGGATGCCTTGGCACCTTGGAGAAGTCCAGGGATGGGGATGGGCGACGTTCCTGGGTGTTGTTGGAGTACTTTGGTAAAGTGCTGGGTTTCATAATCAAAAGGCATTGAGAATATTGAGAAATATACCACATCATACTATGGATGATTATGCATGATAATATGTAGATACAATATCATATATGGTAGCATTTAATATACGCATGCACAAGTATAATTATATATATATAATCATTATTCAACTATAATTGCTGACTATAATTGTTGTTATTATAATCAAATGGAAGCGGATGAGAGAAGCCAAACTGGACACTGCTCATATTGGATCCATGTCTTGGATCGATGTCATGCCACAAAAAGTGTCCAAGTGTTTTTGTCGCTGGACAAATAGTCGTAGCAACCAGTGTCAATGATACCCTCTGGTAAACTAACATAACTATGGAAAATCACCATTTTTAATGGGAAAAGCCACTATAAATGGCCATTTTCAATAGCTACGTTAAATTACCAGAGGGTATTCAATGATTGGTACCCAAGGAAGACAATTGGACACCATCCCAGTCGCTGAATTCCCTGCCGCGGCCATGGCGGGAATTTCTGGAAGTTTCGCAATCGACCACTGGCAAATTTCGCTTTAGAGAGGATGTGCTGCTGGTTGGGTCGGAGGTGCCATGCTGTCCCCAGCCCTGGGTTTCTGTTTCCCCGGTTTCTGGAGATATCATCCACACATCTTGGCATGTGTTCATGTGTTGCAGCTTTGGACTCTCATTCTCTTTGGCCTTTTCCTAGACTTGGTTCAAGAACACTATCCAGAAAAAAACACTCATGAACCCCATACTTGATAGCAGAAATCCATTGCTTCGAAACCAATGATTGTGAAACTCACTTGGAATATGCGTGCACAACATTTGGTACTCTTTTAGTACTTTACTGGTCCCCATTGAAACCATAATATAATATGATATGATATAATATAGTATATAATATAATAATAAAATTATAATGATTATTGTTATATATTATTATATTGCTATTGTGCTGCAATATTGTCCGCAGAACCCCCGGTCCACCCTGCAGGTGGTTCTGTGCGGAGAGTTGCTACGCGACTCACGGGGAAGATTTTTTCTGCAGCCATCGAAGGCTCCGAAGGTGGGCATGGGAGGCTGCTGACGGATATACCGCCAGTGAAAAGGCCATTGAAAAATGGTGAAGATGATGATTCACGCGAGGGGAATACTAGGGGTATCCGAGCCCGGGATATCTGAACCCGGGGTATCCTAGTTTCAGACAAATCCTTGTTTGATCAAAGAGGGCAAGGAAATAGCTTTGGACATGATATAGCTGGGATGACAAATGACTGGATTTGCCGAAACCCACAGAATGCCCCAGAAATGAGACGATGAAGTCAATCGACTTGTACTTGTACCGCTGGTGTTGGTTCGGGTGAAGCTTTTGGCTGGACAGGTTGGATGTAGGTTCGGTTCATTCCGGCAGGCTGGATGTGAAAGCTGGCGTACATCTTGGGAGTGTGAAAGCTCCAAACTGGGGCCAAGCGTCCTTGCGAGCAACTTGACTTGCACCAGTGGCTCAAAACAAAGCTGGTCTCTTGACCACACGAGCCTCCGAGCCTACACTCCACATTCAAAGGCAAATGTTCAAGTTGGATCAATCTGACTATCCTCATCAAGTAGAAACATGCAAATGTAGCTAGCGTATTTAGATTTGCCCATGTTTTTTGCCAGAATGTTATTGAACTGATCGAGCACTTTGGCGTGAGCATTTCATGTTGCACTCTCAGGCAACGACACGACACTGGCTGAAGAGCCAAAGATAGACTCCAGCTTCCTTGTTTCCAGCTTTGAGACTGCTGACTTTCCGCAACCCTTCCTGATGTTGTGAAGAGTTGAATGATGTTGAATGAATGGGTATGGGTCAAAAAAACATCGGCCCTGGCGACTCCCCTAAAAACCTAAAAAACCACAGATGTTTCTCATGTTGACTATTTTGCCATCCCTTTTTGAGGATCCCAACTTCTGACCCATACCCACGTGAAGACAACTGGCCTGTTCTGACAAGGGAGAACCCAATTCAAGGCCTGCGAGATCCTTGCAATGCCGAAACAAAACATGTGCACTTGCTTCAGAGGTTCGAATTGGAGTGCATTATGTATCTATATTTATCCTGTTAGGTTAACTTCCATAATTTTCCCTCACAAGGTTGCATGAAATGTGATTTTTCACTTGCATCATGGCGTATGCAGGCGCCTGTTGAGCCAAACAGCAAGACCTGTGTGCGGGGGCCCGGCTGATTATGGAGCACTTCCGACGAAAGGTTCCAACCAAATCTGCATCTCATTGATTCGTCCTTCCAGTATCTTTCAATTTATGTGTTGGTTGAACGATATTGAGCTGCCATTTAGACTGCCATTGCTGCTCATTTCTGCCAGGAATGTCCGCATCAAAGTCCTTAGAAATGTTTGTACGAATTTCTGCTTCCCAGCATGCAGGGGCTGACAACACTGACTCCCTACAAGTGGCTATCAAAAAGCCCTGCACACCTTGCAGAAAGACCTCCCCTGTGATAGTATTACAGCAATATGTTGTGCTCGGTTCTCGCATTGTCTGCGCCAAAATCCATTGGCCAATTGAAAAGTCTGGGCCATTTGATGGCTGTGAATGTACCGCTCCAGTTCTGATCCATTTTTAAGAATTCATATTGGAGGTCCATGAAGCATTGAATATCTTTGGATTCCTTGAGACTCCGCCACTGGCCAAGGGCGAGCCCCCCCTATGGTATTCATATGTATTCATCAGCTGTTTCTTGTCCTGAGGTCTTCGTAGACCCTCAGGCTGCGGTAGTTGGAGTTCCCATCCTGCAGGACTGGCAAGACGAGCTCCGACGGGCAGACTGTAAAGAGTTCAGAAGTCATTCTGTAAATGGACCCTCTGGAACATTAATATGTATAGCTATGGAACATCATCATGTCTAATTTAATAGGTAAATCATCGAACTAAATTGGCAATGTTGAACTGGAGGATATTGTGTTTTAGCAGTTTCAGAAAAGATGATACTGTCATCCACATAGAAAAGACATTGCTCTGTCGGCAGGAGGGATTTTGGGAATGTCCAGTCAACCTCAGAGGACATGAAGAGTTGTCGCATCTTGGCTGGTCCTGGTGAATAGTACGGGAGCATGCAATGAACGTATGGTTCTAATCACAGCTGCATCATTTGAAAGTACGAGCTGCGAGCTGGTTTGCAGTCTCCAGCAACTCATCAGTGTGGCTGCAGATTTTGTCAAGTGAGTCAAGTCTGAAGTGGGAACTTGCAGGTTGCTTTTCAAGCAGCAGTGTCAAACACTGGCAAACAAAGCCAGCGCGCAGCTGCACGAAATCCAAGAAAAGTGTCTTGGCGATAGAAGCACTGCTCGAATTTCGGGAATTTGGGATCTGGATATCACTGGATATCTGAATTTGTTCACTGGAATTTTTCAGACCTTCAACCAGCCAGCTGCCCAAGGCACCCGGGGATCTCTGTCTCGGTGGGCTCCATTGGTCATCCTGAAACCTGCAACTGGCCCTGCCGATTCATGACGCTTGCTGAGGTGATTCACCATGCAGGAGAATCCCATGCCCCTAACATCAAAACTACCATCATCTGGGCCCAAAAAAAATGTATAGGTCCAATACTAAACCAGGGATCTCTAGGGGCTATTTAATACTAGGGGGTATGAATTGAGTTCACTGTGTCCGGGAAGATTATACTTCTGGTTACTTTGGCGCAGTGACTTGAGTGGCGACTTCAATTGAAGTGTATGCAGCCATGAGTTGCCAAACGCAGGGCAAGAGTTAATGTTTGGATATGGTATTGTTTGGATAATATAGTTTACCCTAAATCCCTGGTTAAATAAAATGTTTCCTCTGTGGGCTACCCCATTTCCAGAAAAACCCATATTTGTGGGTGTTATCAAGTCTGTTTGTTTCAGTTCCTAGCTCCCACAAGACTCCGGAGTCTGCAAAAGCGATTGGTGATCTTCTGTCCGCCAAAGACTGCCCAAACCCCAACCGGATCGACCCCTGGTGAATTTGTGCCCAAACTGCACATTGATGGTTTGTTTGAAGATACAGTGCCCCAAATTCCAACGGGTGATTATTATCTTATCTTTCCCATGACGGTTTGGGGGGATCTCCATGCATCTCCCATTTTCAGACAGGCCGATGTTTAATATGCACCCAAGGAAGAGAGCGGCCGGTTGCGTGCACGGGGCGGCCTGCGCCCGATGCCATCTTTGTGCTTGGTCCAAAACATCTTTGAAGATGCAAGCTGCGTGGAAGAAGGAGCGCTCCAGTCACCGCAGTCTCCTGGTTTGGTATGGTTTGAACTTGATGTTGAATTGTTGTTTCAACATAGAGTAACATTGAGGGGAATAGGTTGGCTCGCACTGCACAGTTTCTCCAACTCACGACAAGAAGTTTGATATACATCCCAGATCCTTGCACTAGGATCACTAGGTCACGCGGCTTTCATAAGGCAAGTTGTGCACATCTCACTTTGCTCATGATTGCTCATGACAGAGAAATCATAGCAGTCATAGCTAATATTCAGTGACTTCAGTGACTTCAGTGCTGTTTCGTAACATTTCCTAATCTTTTCCAACATTTGAGGTCATGTGACTTAGTGACGCCATGTGGCCATCTCCTGTGGCTGTGGGGACTCACTTGGCCAGGCGCATTCGGCGGAGGCAGACGGGTCCAAAGCCATTGTCTCCGTCGGATCCATAGGCTGGGGCTGAAACTTCTCAGCGGCTCTGAATGGGTGACAGGTCTGGTTGGAAGATTGTAGATGTACTCGTACTGCAATGGCAAGGAAAAATGCGAACTATATATATATATATACAGACATACATATATATGTGTGTTTGATTGGCAGATTGGCGGTTTCAATTCTAATTGCGGGTTTGTTCAAGTTGAGAAACATGTTCCATTTCAATATATTTCAATGTGTTTTTTTTGTGTCTCAACCACCAATCATGGCGCCATGTTGCCATTGCAGGCCACCCGCAGCAATGCGCCTGGGCCTGTCGCTTCATGAAACGCTCAGCGGGATGTCACAACAAGGCCAGCGCCTGGATGGGGCCGTCAACAGTTGACAGGTCTTGACCACCAAACTCCGACGTTTTTTTTGACTTGTTGTTCTTCGGTTTCATGAATATTGAGAATGGCTTATATTATGTCATATTATGTCCAAACTGCATATAAATTTACAATTGACAGCATGCGCATTCATTCGTACGTCCATGTGTGTGTGTGTGCGACTCAGAAATGCCTTCCTATTCCGAGTTTTCTTGCTCGGTGTCTTCTATGCTGGATGTTTAAACCCCATTGCAAGATATTGCAAGAACAGCAACATCCAGCTCCATGTGGCTATGGATCAATACCTATTAATACCATTTTTAGGGGGATGAACATCCATTTACCAGCTATTCAGGGGTACAAGGTTTTGACACACTGCCATGTGTTTACCAGGGTTGAACGCCCCCATGGATCGTTCATATCAAAAAAAATATGGTCTCCCATCCTCCGACCAAGGCGGCCTGCCCTCGGTGCCACCTTTGCACTTGGTCCAAGGACGGATTTTTTTTTCGGAGACATCAATTGAACTTGGTAAAGAGTCAGATATGAAGCAACCAAGGAGCCACTCTTTTATACTCTTTTTAGGGCCATCAAGGGCCATTTTTTGAACCATGAAGGGTTGCAGATTCGGATGTGACAGGCCACCTTGAAGATGGAAGCAGCTGCCAAACGCCTGCAGCCAATGGCCATGCAGATTGCTTGCATCCCTGCTACTTACAATACCTACCAGTTGGTTTCGGCAAATGGGAGCGACTGGGTTCTGACCAAAAGTTTTCGTTGAAAGTGTGTCATTACGGATCAATGAAATTTAGATAATGATGATAATGTTTGCATATGTTTGCATATATGTGTTTGCCTGTTTCAAGACGTGATGTCATCAAATCAAGGTGGCACAGATTCCTGCGCAGTCGCGCATACACTTCCGGAAAAGGAAACACCTGACACGGACGAGGATGTGGAGGGAGATGATTTTTAGTCGGTCAAGCCAACGTTGGAATGCTGCTGTGTGCCGAGTTGCGGCTGACGTCCTGTGAAAGATCACTGTCCCTCAGATCTTCATCCATGTAGTGCGTGATGGTTATGTCAAGAGCTTGCAGGCCCAGACAATGCCTCCGACAATGTCTCCATGGCCAATTGCTTCATCCGTATTCTGCACAGCAAGTTGGATCTCGTGGACATGGACATGCAGCCAACTGGCTGCGATGCTGCACCTGCGATTTTGTGCAAGAGAAGGATGGTGCTGTTTCCGGACGCAAAAATGAGGAAGTCCCTAAGACAGCAGTTGCAAAGAATATCCGAATATCCCAAGATATCCCAAGCAAGTTCTTCGCGCGCCAGCCTTGGCTTTCCCTGGACAATCAGAATGGCAGGAGATTTTTAAGCCCAATAGTTGATGAGTAAAGAGACCAGATGCGGCGAGTCAGGGAGGGTTGGCGTTGCTGCCACATTTACTACTGCATGAGCTGCTGCGGAAACTAAGGTGGACATAATGATCATAATGTGTATATATGATACATTGTGATACCAGATACAATCACATACAATCACATACGGTATTTGAAAACTCTTGCACAGCTGGCTAAGCCGGGCCGAACCAATTCCAACTTTAATTAGTTTGGTTGGCAGGACTTGTGGTAAAAGCCGACCCCTGATTTGTGGTATAGATTACATCATCTATTCCGAGTATACTTGAATGGTTTCGGACGTAAATCCATGATTGGTTGTACTCCTAAAGCAGACTTCCATAGAAATCGATGGTTTTTTCCCCAGCATTGATCCAATGATATCCTCTTGACCATAGTCACCATAGTCGTCACCAGGATGCCCGAGCCCTTCAATGCGCGGATGAGTCACTGAAATCCAACCGAACATTTTTACTGAAGGCGCGAAGGTCACTAGCTGCCAGCCTTCTGATTGGAAAGCCAAAGTTTGCGACGAAAGGATTGTTTCATGTTGAGAAGTTGACCCTGTGCCGTTTGTCTTGGACAAGACATAGGCCCATGTAGACTTTCTGTCGCATTGGATGCGAGCCCTGTTTCCTTTGGTATCGCGCGCTTCTTTTACGCTTCAAACTCTCAGCTCTAGCCACCTAGCGCTCAACCAATTATATCCAATTATCAACTTAAGAAGCTCTCCTTACTCATATTTTAATATATTTTACACTAGTGCCATGCAGATTTTTCGGTCAATGATGTCGGTCGCCCTGTCCCTGGCGAGGCCTTGGCGAATTGTCCTCAAGCCTTGGACTTTGTCGACATCTCTGTGAGGTTTGATCCAGAATTGGTGAAGGCGGGGTGGATCTGCTGAGGTGTTACCCGAAATGGTAATCAACTGTGGCTAGCTGAGAAATTCCCTGTTCAATGGAGGCATACAGCTGGGAAAATCATATTATAATAGCAATAGAAGTGACAAGATTCGGGAAGAGGATAGTTGAGGGCTGTAAGAGCCCACTACAGCTTGAAAATGTTGATTCGTGATGGACAGACTGATACAGACCTGGGTGGTTCTGGTGTGTTTCCGGCATGTCTTGACACCTCCACCAACCAGTCTCAGTCTCATAGTCACCATTCGGCGGTGTGAAAGTCTCTCGAAAAATCTCATGAATGCGGAAAATCATAGTTCGTAATAGCTCGTAATAGCTCGCAAGAAGGTTCAAACAAAGCCCGGACCGGAGCCTCTTTTGCATTTGTTTGCCTCGTTTCTCTTGGACCTACCTACGTGGCTCCTTCCTTGTGCATTGGCACACTCCCAGATCGCTTTGGGGCAAGAATACCGGCCTGTTTCTCCAAAGGAGAGGCCGGAGCCAGCCAACACGGAGGGAGGATCAGTGATATCATGTGATATCATCCATTTTCATCCATCTCATTGGTATTTGTTTGTGGAAATTGGATTTCTGGTTTGAATAATATGTGTTTCAATTTAATTCAATCTGTTTTTCCATCCTAACTGGGATCCCACTTGTTGGATTCTGTTGGCTCATGTTTTTTGGATGGGAGGCTCATCACAAAGGTTTATTTGGCAGTGCAAAAAGAGAGCCGATTCTGAGCCGGATTTACATGCAGACCACATTCTATTCAGGGGTTCTTAGCACCAGCTTCATGATTGCTGAAGTCATTCGCGTTGTTTGTGAAAATTGTATGTGTTTGTCACAAACTACAGTACCCCAAATAACAATCTTACTGGAAAATGATGACCATTGGATTCTGGGTTGCCTGTGTTCACTTGTGCCAGGCCCAGCAGTCCCAAACCAGCCGCCCCTCCCAAGCCCCGGAGCCGCCGCTCCCGGCGCGCGCTGCTGCTGGATGAGAGGAGCCGGCTCAACTGCGTACCAACGGTGAGCATATATAACCTACGAAATCCTGGGATGTACCGATATACCCTGGGAATAATAGAATCAATATGAATCAATATGAATCCATATGAATCCATATGAATCCATATGAATCAATATGAATCAATATGAATCAATATGAATCCATATGAATCCATATGAATCAATATAAATCAATATGAATCAATATGAATCAATATGAATCAATATGAATCAATATGAATCAATATGAATCAATATGAATCAATATGAGACCATATGAATCAATATGAATCAATATGAATCGATATGAATCCATATGAATCCATATGAATCAATATGAATCAATATGAATCAATATGAATCCATATGAATCCATATGAATCAATATGAATCAATATGAATCCATATGAATCCATATGAATCAATATGAATCAATATGAATCAATATGAATCAATATGAATCCATATGAATCCATATGAATCAATATGAATCAATATGAATCAATATGAATCAATATGAATCCATATGAATCCATATGAATCAATATGAATCAATATGAAATATGAATCCATATGAATCCATATGAATCAATATGAATCAATATGAATCAATATGAATCAATATGAATCCATATGAATCCATATGAATCAATATGAATCAATATGAATCAATATGAATCATATGAATCCATATGAATCAATATGAATCAATATGAATCAATATGAATCAATATGAATCAATATGAATCAATATGAATCAATATGAATCCATATGAATCATATGAATCAATATGAATCAATATGAATCAATATGAATCAATATGAATCAATATGAATCCATATGAATCCATATGAATCAATATGAATCAATATGAATCAATATGAATCCATATGAATCAATATGAATCAATATGAATCAATATGAATCAATATGAATCCATATGAATCAATATGAATCAATATGAATCAATATGAATCAATATGAATCCATATGAATCCATATGAATCAATATGAATCAATATGAATCAATATGAATCAATATGAATCAATATACGTATATATATATATATATTTGGCTGGTGGTGATGTCAGATAATTACGTGATGCAATCTTTCAATGCTGTGAATGCATCCAGAACAGCTGCTTGGTGGTTTCACATGCTGTTGCCAAAATGGCAAGCATTTTCTGGGTGGGGCTGAAACCACTAGGTCCACCCAATGGCATTGTGAGTCCTCTTCCCAGATCTTCCTAGGAGGCGGAGATTGTCCCGATCTCCCGATACCAAATCGGCCAGAGATCCTTTGAAACCGGGAGTGGAGAACAGGCGGGATAGAGATTTTTTAACATCACTGGGTGGCAGAATTGTTAATAGATTTTGTATGTCCATGTCCAGGGATGATAATCTCCAATTCCCTGATATTGTTACTTTAAGGGGTTGGAACAGCTTAGAACCACCATCCACATTTTGTGGTCAGAGAAAAGGTGCAATGCTGGGGCCAAGGGGCCAATGCACATAATTCAGATGTCTGAAACTATATAGCTACCTCATGGTTGAAGTGATTGAACCTGCATTTCGGATGATTATTAGATATTATTAGCATGATCTAAGGTTTCAGGTTCCCTGAAGCTTCACCAAATCCCCTGGAAATCGCACTGCACTGCGCTGCTTGCAGTTTGGAGCCCACATCCATCCCAGAGCAGTGAGAGAGGCAACCCAAAGAAGCAACGGATTGGTCGCTTTTCTCGGCAAAAGTCAGCAGCTGTGCCCTTTGGGTCAGGTTACCCATGGTTTCGGTGAGGTGCATAATTTTGTTCAGCTAGTAAGAGCTGATCAGAGCATAGAATGAAGTTAGAAGCACGGCTTCTCTCAACAGCCCAAGGAGATTTCGGACGTTGTTTTCAGAAATCAAAAAATCATGGGACATGAGCAAACCCTTGTGCCTCGCGGATGCCTACGAGTGAAAAATGTGACGTGTTGGCTCCAAAAGATGTTTGCCACATTGGTTCATCCATTGACGATATGCAATTGTAGTCCAACTGTTGAGCGCATTTGGCCCCTAGCAGAAATGTACCGACGGTCGCTTTTCTCGGCAAAAAAACTGTTGCGCCCTTGATCAGGTTGGTTTACTTGTGGTAAAGTAGTGTAAGGTGCAAAATTGTGTTCAGCTGGTTAGAGCTGGTTTCAAGCATTGATTCCGGAATCTGAAATCGTGCGGCATGATCAACCCTTTGTACTTCTCGGTTCGTGAAGGTTGCAGTTTTGCTCAAGACGGCCCTTTGAGCTAAGAGCGCGAATACTCTGGCGAAGCAAAAGACCGCATCTGCAGCTTCAATGGACCAGTGAGAAGAACATAAGACAGCCAGAAATGTTGAAAGACTTTGTGATTTTCCATGTGTTTTCTACCGATCGCGCCAATCGCGAACATTATCATCATTGCTTCGTGCCAGCAGAAGACATACAATTTCAGTAATACATACAATTTCAGTGCCAGAGCAGAGTCAGACAGAGCTGCTGCTATGTGTAGGAAATGCCCATCAAGACATGTGACGTATATTTTGGGGATTATTGGGGTATGTATGTTTGTTTAAGCTTCTCCAAATACCTCCTGCTGAGAGTACATACTTGATCATACTTGTACAAATTGACAATGTGCGTTCATGTGTGTTTAGCTGCTGAGTTGCGTGACATTTTCTGCAACTTCTCTTCCAGCATGTATAGTGGGGAGATGCTTTCAGTCTTGGGTGCAGATTTAAAATGATCAAATCCAAACCCTTTTGTTCCACTGTTCGTAACGAATGCACATAAGCGACCTCTCCAGGACTTGCTGAGGGCTGAACCAGCCTAGGATCGCCATGTCAAGCCTATCTTCTGTGGTTCTTCCATGTGCCCCGAGCAAGTTGCCCCTGGTTCTTCGAAGAATCGGCTACTTGGCCATGAGAAATGCCGTGCCAAAACAGGCCTTAGTCAAGCAATGACTTGAGCCTTGCACTGGTTGACTGTTGAGAATGATGTATTCTGCACACGTGGAGAGGGCGTTGACAACACATTGCGAGGATGCGTACTGCAAGTTTTCAATCTGATAGATAAGTTGCAGTCACATGCAGTCACATCAAATCCCAGTTTTTGTCAAAATTGTCAAAATACTTTCCAGTCACAACTGTTGACATATTTTGCCATATTTTAAACCACAAGAATATGGACTGTCAAAATTGCCATATTCTTTTGGCAAACAAACAAAAGCTAAGCGTGTTTTCCAGGTCACCGGCGGACTGTTCCTCTGACACACGGTGCAAACGCCGCAACTTGGACCTGGCGTTGCTGCACAGCACTGGTTGTCAGTGCTGCAGTTAGGGGCCAAAGGCTGCTGAGGAGGTGGGAAAGTTTGGAACTGTTTGGCTTGTTTGGTTCATTGGGGGCCCAATGTTCAATCCCAGTTGGCCCAGTTGGCCAAGTTTTCCATTGGAATGTTTGAATGAAACCACAAATACAGAAAAGCATAGAAAAACAATTATCAAGAAATTGTGAAGTGCCCATAGTTTAAGAAAAAGAACTCCCCCTTTTGCATGATCATATTGGTTTGGGAGGGTACTTGGATAATTAATCATTTGGCTTCATAGCTGTTGTATAGCTGGTTAGTAACATTGGGTACCCCTGGCGATGGAAACTCTCCCAACTGGGGGCTGTTCCATTTGTAAGTTTGTTAATTCTGATGATAGCCATGGTTTCCAAGAAATTTGTTGCGTAGGATAATGGGATGGTCCAAAGTTTGTTGCCTAGCTCAAGAATCCGCCGACTGGGGCCATGGCTCCAGGGCCTTGGGGAACACTCCCTGGGAGATCTTGGGTGTGGCTCCGGGAGCGAGTCCTGCAGAGATTAAGAAAGCCTATCGCAGAAAGGCCTTGCCGCCTGGTTGTTGGAGATGGGCTGAGACTTGGGGATGGGTAGGTTGTTGATGGTTCTTGTAGCCTGGAAATCTGTTGAAAAAAGGCCAAAACAGAAACCTGTTTGGTTGTGTTTTGTTGATGTTGACTGGGACATTAGCGGTGCTGCTTTTCGAGATTTGTTTGAGTGCTCGCAGAATCACAAAGAATTGGGAGCGTCGCAATTTGGCTTCAATGAAGTTTCGAGCTATTGCAGTAATCCCAATTATATATATTCTTGTTGAAGACTAGAACTCTGGTATCTATAAATGTATTTCATTCAATTTCCGGTACTTCTCAGCGGCAGATAAGGTCCTCATCCATGTCCCCGGTCCATCTCCGAGGAAGGAGCACCCTGACGTCAGCCAGCTGCCGGATGCCAAGCAGCGATGGCAGGAGTTATCGGCCGCCTACGATGTGCTGAACGATCCGGCAGCTCGCAGTTTTGAGCGGTTTTTTTTTGGAGTTTTGGGATAGCCACCAGGATGGAGGGTTGAAGCAAAACTGGTTGGTCAGTTGGTTTGGAACCATGGAATTTTATGACTTTCCATATGTTGGGAATAATATGGAATAATCATCCCAACCGGCTAAACAGAAACTAACCAAAGCACAATTCCAATTGAATCATCATGGACTGAGGATGTAAGCTAAATTATAAACGATGAAGAATGGATGTGCCATGTTACAGTACCGATATATCAAGTAAGGTCGAATGGAGGTAGGAGCCAACAAAACATGCAGGTCTTTACAAATGTTTGTGGCAGGTCATGTGCTGTGCTGATCCTACCATGGTGGTCACTAATCTTCTGGTTGGTGGTTTGGAACATGAATTTTATGTTTCCGTATATTGGGAACAGTAACCCCAACTGAGTTTCATATTTTTCAGAGGGGTATAGAAACCACCAACCAGTCTGAATTTGATTTAATTTGCGGTTCTCCTTGGCTAGAATTTGTGGTTCCCGGTGCTCTTAGGTTTTGTTGGTGCCATAAGAGGAGAGAGATCACCTACCCATTCCATGCTTAGTGACTCATGCACTAAGCACTAGGTAGTCTGCAGATGGGCTTGGAATGTGCCTGGAAATGTGTTAAGATCAGACCCCAGCTGCCATGAAACTTATCCCGAAAAGCCGGGCGGCCCTGGTCGGTTTTGGCTCAAAATCACTGGAGTTCAGCACACGTCTGGGATGATCTTGCCGTTCCTTCACCATCGATGAAGATTCGGAAGATTTGAATCAGCAAACTACTGTTCCCATCGTATTCCAAAGAATTGGCCCACTATCAGTTGGTTAAATCCGCATGTTTGATGGTTATAGTATGTTATAGTACTATACATTCCCATCATTTTTTCATGGTTAAATCACCTGAACAATCCCTCGTTTTGATGCTGAAAAATCCTCAGTAACGGGTGGCTCGGCTCGGCTCAGGAGAAACTGAAAGGTTGGGAGCGCGCCCAGCGAGGAGCCCGCAGCTCCAGCTCTGGAGCACGAAGGACGAGAAGTGCCTTGCCATGGTTTTAGGACTATTGCATGATGATGCATGATGTAATTGTGTATAATATATATATTATATATATTATATTTATATATTATATGTAATTATATTATATATATATAATAAGTTGATATAAGTTTTGATCTTGACCAGGACCAGCATCTTGAGACCTCGCATCCGGTTAAAGCTTTGACGAACCCCTTTTTCGATGGCCCGAAACGCAGGTGCCTCAAGGAACTACGACGGACGCTGGAGAAGAACGCAGGAGCTGGAAGAGCAGACGCTGGACAGGAGGGTTATCCCATTTATAAATCTCCAGTAAGGGGTTTAATAATCCATGATAATCCTGATGGTGTTTCAATGTGTTTAATAATCCATAATCCTGCTTAGTAATTAAGTCGTATAAGTGGGCATTCCATTTATGAATGGGGTGCTCAAGATGGCTAATTAAAGCCTGTTTAGGCACATGAAGGTATTGTTTTTCCTGGGAAGGGGTGCTTTCTTTATCTTTCTTTTTTTGTTGGTGAAGGGTGAGTCGTCAGTTGGTTCAACGTTCTTTTTGAATCTTTTTGATGTTTCTTTATTTTACTAGACATCTCTGAGCTGATTTCTCCCAAAGCTGGGCTAGAAATGTCACTATTTTTGTCTCTATACTTCGAGTTCAAGGCAACTTACATTACATTACATACATTACCCTCTGGTAAACTAACATAGCTATTGAAAATGGCCATTTATAGTTGATTTTCCCATTAAAAATGGTGATTTTCCATAGTTATGTTAGTTTACCAGAGGGTACATGCCATAACATATCAGGCAACATTCAGCTTTCCACCTCAGGTACGACGCTGGCGGGGATAGCTTTGGTGCTATCTTCAGTGACTTCTTCGACAGCTTGGCTGAAACAGTGCCTTGGCGTAGCCTCATTGCTGTGTATGTTTCAACAGAAATTATCAACAATTATCAATTGATATTGATCCATAATAGTGTATTCATTTAATACAATTCAATATCAAATAATTTGAAACATATCCTGAAATTATCGATGATGGGAAGTCGTGGAAGACTTCATCACCGGCAACAGGCCGATGGCTCGGAATCTCGCGTACGACGTGCTACTCGTGCCGGAGGTGGTGTGGTTGTGAAAGTCGACGTGCCAATGCATGCTGTCCTTGCACACAGGAAAAAGACACAAAGATTAAACACAGAGGAATGAATCAAGATGAACGAGAATATGTTTGATAACAGGTTGACATTTTGTGCCAGTTCCACTTTAGTTATCTTTAGTTGATTTTGTTTTTGCCATGTGTTTTTGAGAAATCTGCACTTGGCTCAGCAGGTATGCTCTTGGAGGATCTGCTGGAATTTCTGGAGAGGGGCCTGGGCGAAGATGCCACCGGCCGAAGCCGTGGCTCCCGCTCCTGGGCGCAAGCTTGACAAAGCTGCTGGAAGCTGGTGAATCAGCACGCTTTACTGTCAATGATTTTATAGAAGGTTAAAATTATGTATGTATATATATATATTATATATAATATATATATATAGTACGTATGCATATTATACATCCTCTACATGTATCCTTTGGTTTGTTAAAAATGTTCCATGGATTTGCAGATGCAACACGATATTGCTATCCAATGTGTAAGAGATATGTGCGTTACTGAAGGAATCGGTTCACACCCCAGAAGGAATAGAACCCGACGGAATAAACCAATCTCTAGCAAGCTTCGTGCAAGGATGTTAGATTTGAGAACCTCGCCATAAGCCCTATTTAGTTGTTTTTCTCTCATGTGATGTCCAGTTGGGATGCGTGTAAAGTTTCTCGGATCTACCATCAACGACTGATTTTTGATGTTCTTCATTGCTGCTTTCATCAAGGCTCAAGTCCGTTCGCTGGCAGCAACCCCGCGGGGGAGCTTGAAGAAGCCAAGTTGGAGTTCAAGACCATGCAAAGTCGTGATGAGGCTGGTTCAAGTATAAGTACCAATAATTGACCTTCAATCAAGCCACAAGAATTGGGAGGTTGCGCCAGCCCCATAATTACCCATATAATTATTCATGTTATTTGTGGAGCATTGTTTTGGATTCTAGAGACTTGCCCTGCCAAGCATCAAATAGGCAAATCATGCTGCTGACAGTATATCCCCACAATTTGTTGTGATATCCCCACAAGCCACAAGTCTTGGTGATCCTCAGCTGTGCTGATAGGTCCTTGCTGCTGAAGCCAATGCTTGGGAGCGGAAGAGTGACCTTTGTCGCGACAGTGGTGACAAGACTGGAGAGTTGGATGCCATGCAACGAAACTTGGCGATCTCAAGCAATTTTTTTAAAAGGCTGAGTGGTTTGTCCCATTCTTTCCCCCGTGTTTTGCTTGCAGTTCTCGTTCTTTTCAGTGTCTGTTTCTTGATTTTCTTGGTGAGACTCCTTGACACGGCATGCAAATAGATGCAAATAGCTGAGTATTAGCTGAGTGGCTTGGGTGCATAGCTCTCAACACCGGTTGCCAAGCATTTGAAGTCAAAATCCGACATCGAGTGACTCAGTTACCACATGTTACCACCAAGGGCTCTTTGACACCAGAGAGCGCCGGAAGACCATCCGACGAAGACTGCTCAGCATTCAAGAGCGGAAGCCTGGCTTCTGGATTGAGGGGACGAAGATTACAAAGTGATTTATTACTTTTCTATCTTTTCTTGAATTTCTTGTTCTTGCCCCCTCTGTATCGATGAGTAAATTCCAGGAGTTTTACCTTCTTTGGACTGGGCCGCGGCCACCTGCCAGGATCGAATATTTGGAGAAGGTGCTCTTCGAATTTCAACGAAAGCAAGCTGCCAAAACTGCTACAACTGGGATCCATGGCAGCAGTTCACTGCTGGAAAGCTCATTTGGGGCGAAAGAGATTGGGAGATGCATGGTGTCAAAAAACAGTTGCAGATATTTGCAGGTAAGTCTACAGGTCATAGGTGGTTCACACGCAATGGGCCTTCAACGCTGACCAACCTTGTACTGTAAATGTTGCTTTCTTTCCACCGTCAATCCTTGGCATCGGGCAGCTGATACTGAGGTCTACCTCTGGCACAGCTGGTGCCAGGGAGAGCTCATCCACGTCGAAGCGAGCACCAAGCTTTGATGCGGACCAGGTGCAGACATGCATTTTTAGCGTTAGTCTGAAATGGGCGATGTACCCCCGAAATGAGCATCATTGCATATATTGAGTGGGGAAAGGAAGATTATATGACATTGATTAACCAATGGATTTGGGGGAACCTATTTTCAGACAAACCCATATGATGCCATTGGATCTCTAGTCTTTAAATATCTTTAAAACGTGTTTTCACTGCAATATAGTGTGGACCCTTCCGTCTGCGGATGTCTAAGTAATTTAAGAAGGGTCAGGGCAGCACGTGATCAGCACATGCTGCAATTTTGATGCAATTTTATTGATTGGGAAACACCATCTATGTCATGATGGGATGACGCCAGGCTCTTGCAGAGCTGAAAAGGCAGAAAGGCAAACGCTGAAGAATTGGAAGGGATAAACTCCTCCCAATCCAGACCTTTGGCAGAAACCACGATAATTGATTCAAACGCTAAAAAAGGAAATGTTCCTAAATATATTCTATCAAAATATTATTTTATTTGGTAATATATAATACAATATGATATATATATATGATCGTATATGCATTGACATATGTATATATATATTTATCCATGATGATAAGTACACATAACGCATATATAGCATTATATAATTGATATTAGGTTGATATTAGTTAATTCAGGAAAATAAATTTGTGGTTTTATTAATAAAATATCTCGAGAATTTTGATTTTTTTTGGGACGAGGAAGGAATCCGAAATATATATGATGTTTATCGAAATATTATTTTTCTTAAAATATATCGAAATAAAATATTATATATTTAAATATAATTAAATTATTTTAAAATTATTTTTTAAAGGATAGTTTGGCCGGCAAAAAATCTAGGTTTTTAAGATGTATATTGTTGTTTTGACGGTTT